TAGGATTCACAACGGGGACGACGGTCCGTGCACAGCTCCATCTTCTCAAGCCCAGATCTTCAAGCAGTTCATCGCACAGCCACCTTACCACGTCTTTCAAGAGGCGATTGTGTTGTTGAAAATCAACGTCGTCCATGTCAAACGCGTTGGCGTGACGGCGAAGCACGAACAAAAACGCTGCCATTTTCGACGCTTCTCCCTTATCTCGCGCCCAACTCGCGCAGGTCGGAGCCGGCAAGCTTTTTCCCATCCTCGGCGGCTTCTGCCATTTCACAATGACATGACCTACGTGGCCCGCTCTCCGACGGCCTCAAACCAGGGTGTCGAACCGGAACCGAACCGAACCGAAAACCGGAACGGAACCGTTATTTTTAGCCGAACCGGAACTGAACCGAACCGAAATCTTCGCCGCCATCTTGGAACTGAACCGGAACCGAACCAAAAAAAAAAAATATAACGGTAACCGGTTCAAAACGGTTCAAGGTAATATTTCTCTTTTTCTTTTTTCTTAGTATCACAAAATGAACATATGGGAATAAAACATTGGCGGCTGTATTTCTATCTATGGATCAAATAGTCATATACAGAATTGAAAAGTATGGTAAGTTGTGGCTTTTCATGGCACTATGATTAACCATGTGTCACGTTGTCACGTGACGCCATGGTGTCAATTCATGTTGTCACGTGACCTCGTGACGTCACGTGACTCACTGCGTCAACTCGATTTTATTTGAGGAAGTCACTTGATGTATTAACATTGTTGACAGCATGACGTAACATGACATTACGATTTCGCACCGAGAGTCACGTGACACCGGGACGTAAGCGATATTCATAACCCCTAGTCGAGTGCTCGGGTTCATGACAATCAGCACCACCAAACATTTGGGTAACGGCTCATGTCAATTAAATATGATAATAGCCCAACTCTAACAATATCCGAAGCTCAGCCCAAGCTTTTGCTTTCCAAACCCCAGCCGCCTAGAGCATGACTGTGATGAACACTGGCGGTATCAGGTCACGTGGCCGCTTGTTTAAATTGTGAGTTGAGGAGATATCGACATCTGTCTCTTTCCTTTATTTTTTCTGCATCTGCTATTAAGGGAAAACTAATGTATGTTTCCGCAAGCTATCAACGTTAGGGGATATTTCTTAACACTATTTATTGAAAGTACAAGAAAAAATGTTGCAAGACCCATTTTACATTATTGAGGCACCCAAATATTTTTTCGTTGTTGCTGAACTGCATCTGAAAGATGTCCCTGAGAATAGAAGTACTAAAATTACTAAATGCGACTTATCAATATGACGTTACATAGAACTACACTTGTGTACGGAAGGAATACAAAAAAAAGGATATTTTAGTGACCTCAGAGAGACAGCCGAACTTTGGCAGTTGCTGTAAGTCTCACACGAGCGTCGTTCTCAAGTTATTGCCCAAGTTTCGACTCCCTCTGTACTTTGCTTAAAGGAGCTATAAAGATATTTCTATACGTCACTAAATACTACTCAGGATCACCACCCTAACGTTAATAACTGCTTGAACTTGGCTTTGCTATTTTTTCTAAGCAATGGCAGTCGCCGAAAAATTCGAGAAATATGAGCATCGTTCATCCCCTCAACTCGGAGCCAGAAGCGGCCATGTGGCCTGGTGCCTATCTTATGCCGCCAACGTTAATCATAACCCCGCGCTGGGGTTTTAAAGGTAGAAAACGCGTGCTCAGGCTCCAGGCATTGTTAGAGTTCGGCTATTCTCATCACGCAGTGGTTGGACACCAGCCACTACCCAAGTGTCTGCCAAGACATTGATTGTTACGAGCCGATGCACTGTGCTCACGCAGTCCTCCTGTCCAATCCATGAGCCGCGCTCGACTGCCGTCAGGCGGGTGGTTTTGATCCTACAATTTCGACATCAATCTTTGGGAAGGCAAGACTAAAAGAAATAGACTCATTTAATCCTCGCAATTTCACCGCGACAAAGAAACTTCTGAATTAGTGGCTGCCTGTGCGAGTGTACTTGGGTCGAAGGACCAGTACGCCTCGGAAAAGTCATGAACATTCCAACCCGATGTTGTTTTATGACCCATCTAAACTTCACGGGGTGCAAAATAAAATCAATGAAGGGTTGCGGTTAACAAGTGTCAAATAAATTTGTCGAATGAACACATACCAACGGAGGAGGCAATTCCTCAGGAATACTTTCAGCCTTTCCACTCTGGTGAAGAAGGAAGACCAGAGAAGTTGTACTATGGTGTAAATAAAGTAATGGCCGGCCGCAAGTCGGCAAGCCAGAGTGGAAAGGCTGAAGAGGTTGCCGTCATCTATGCGCGACGGCGGCAGCAAGACAACCGGCAACCCGGTTGTCTGGTTGCCGTCGTCATTTATAGAGGGCGGTAGCTTACCAAAAAGCACGTTTTTGTCGTGTCAGACGCTCGCGCCGTTCCTAGTGAAAAGCGTCTGACTCGCAACAAAAGGGTCGTGGGTTCGAATCCCGCGTAATATTCTTAATTTTTTTTCTTTAAGGCAAAATAATTACTTTCAAAAGTGAAATCATTTGAGACATACGCGACTTTTAATTCGCATTACATGTCATGTTTTAATCACTCTCATTCCACGCGTGATGTCACGTTTCCCGTGAGCATTGTGGGTTGCTTGAAATTCTTGCACGAGGGTATGTAGCTCTGACGTCATGAACCTATCGACCAATAAGGATTTTCCAGTGTCGCCACCGACATCGGCTTTTATGTAAAATCATCAGTTAGCAAAGGTGATGCTCATTTGCAGATTAAAATGACCGGCATCTTGTCAAGAAGAAACCTTAACAGCCAGACTATGCCAGCGTATTCTGCATAAGAAAATGTTCACTTGGGCAAGCGCTATTTTGCGTCAGATTCGAGAGAGAGAGGTAGCGTGAAAGAAGCAGGGGAAGTTGTTCTAGCGGGAATGCTGAACTGGTTCCCCATGAAAAGAAGTAGAGAGAAAGGATCTGAGTGCGAAGGTGCGTATAGATTAGAGTGAACAACTGCGATTACTTCTTGTTGCATGATTAGTGGCATGCATGCGGTGCTGAGTGTAAACAATGTTTGGTTAGAACAACAACCATTTGGGTTGCCGCTCGGTGTTTCTATAAAAAATAGACTGAAAGAAATTATCCTAAAACTTTTGTTACATTCTGAAAATTTCATTGCTTTTAGCTCAGTTGTGTCGTCATCATATACATATATATTGTGAAGTGTATTTCGTAAACCTTATTTCATAATTAGCATGATCACAAGGTGCTCATTTCATAATTTTATGTGATGTAATTAATTCCTTAGTTCAAGGACACAATCACGATTTCATTTTTAACACTGCGTCACAAAGTTGTACCAATCACGGGTATTTTATTCGACCTAGATCACTTTGCGACAACATTTTATACCGTGTAAATAGATCAGCTTGAACTTTAGAATTTTACTTAAACACGAAGAAAGCATAATAAAATACAGTATAGTTTTAAATTTGAAGCTGATCTATTTACAGGTGTATACCAACCAGCTCAACTCTTTACTCTTGAACTTAAACATTTTGATTCAGGTAAAATATATATTACTGGTAAACAAAGGGATGTGGAGTCTTATGAACACGACGTTATGTAGGTTAATATAGATTTTTTCTACTCTTGCGTCGAAATTAGATAACTGAATTTAATATTTCTGGTACCTAAAAACAAAAGTAAATTGCACGGACGATCGAAGAAACTATATAGTTAATCCTTTCACGGCGTAAATAGTGTATATTGCCAGAACAACGCGAAAAATATATTCTCAATTTAGCGGTTCAAACCGGTTCGAACCGGTTCGAACCGGTTTGAACCCAGGGGCGGATCCAGGGGGGGGGTCCTGGGGTCCGGACCCCCCCCCCCCCCCCCCTTCTTTTTTTTTTTTTTTTTAGCCAGCCAGCTAAGCTCTCTAGACACCAGTGAAAAAGACGACGGTCCGTTTCTCAGGGAAGTAGGAGGAGAGGGGGGGGGGGAGAGGGAGCAGGGAGTGATGCCCGGCTTCCGCGGTCGAATGATGGGTCTATCCCCCCCCCCCCCCCCCTTTCCCGGGTCCTTGCTGGACCCCCCCCCCCTTAAACAAAACCTGGATCCGCCCCTGGAACCGTTATTTTTTGCTCCCCGGAACTGAACCGGAATCGAACCGAAAGCCGTGAACCCGAACCGGAACCGAACCGATAAAAATTTCGGTTCGACACTCTGCCTCAAACCAAACTCTCCGTTGTGACGTCAGGACCTAGGGAGTGACGGCGTGCGTCGTCACGGACGGCGAGTACGGAGGAAGGGAAGGGGCAATTACTTTGACCCCCCCCCCCCCCCCCCCCACACACACACACAACCCCGAAATCCCGAAATAAAATCGTGGCCACGCCACTGTCTTCATGGGTTCTATTCTCAACCTATAGCAACTACACTTAAAAAAAAAAAAAAAAAAAAAAAAATGCCTGCGTTTTTACTTGCCCGCGGAACACTAGAAGAGCCAATCTCTGCCATTTACGACATTAACTCAGCGAATGAGAAGGCAGAACATCTGTTTAGACCTCAAAATTAAGTTTGCGCTGTGGCATTGCGTAATGCCACAGCGCAACTTCATTTTTAGGTCTAAGCGGATGTTCCGCCTCATCATTCGTTAAGCGGCTTACGTAGATCGCAGAGATTGGCTCTTTGGGTGTTTTGCGGGTAAGTAGACGTGCAGGCATTTTTTAGAGTGTAGGGGTGCGACGGTTGGATCTTTTCCCCAATAGTATTGTCATTTTCGCAAATTGAACATGATAGCCTTTTAAAATTTGGCGCGCAGACTAGTGGATCGAAATCGAAACCGTTTTGTCCCACCGTGCGCAGAGCTCTTAGTTTGGCGGGTTTGGCGCATTTCGTGGCAACACTGGGTACGTACTATTTAAATGAAATCTAATCGAATCCAATGCAATCCAAACAGATAAACCAAGCACGCGGGGCATTTAGCAACGAGTTCAACGAAAACAGTTTATTTCACCTGATAAAACTGCGCGGTCAAAGCCGAATTCGATATGCAAATGGCGAGGAAAGGAACAGGGGGGATAACAGGGCGAGGTAAATAACCATGACTACTCTATGACTTCTACTCGTGAAGGCGTAACCGGCCGACGCCGGTACGCCAGCTTTGTCAACAGGTGAGTGTCTTGTAATGTTACTGACGCTACGAATGTACTGCGTGCATATGTCCGAGTACTTCGACGTGAAGTTCCGAAGGCTGGCCTCATACGGGGCACGCAGCATGGTTACGTTGAAGCAGGACGTCTCCGCACTGGCATCGTCCACGCAATTGCCATACTTGTGGTATGTTCTGCAGATTGAAACGATTGATTACGGCTCGCCGTTTCTAATACCGGTCACGTTATTAGAGTGCATGCAGTAAGATGTGACTACGTCACCTGCAGAACTTCGGTGTCGCAATGCTTCTTCCGGTAACTTCTCTTAGGAAGCTCTCGTAGCACTTTTGCAAGAAGCTGGTAAACTCGCCGTGGTTGCATTGCAGGTATTGAGCTGCGCAAAAAGGAGGAAATTAATTTACCTGCCTGTGTTTCAACCACAGTAGGTCAACTGCAGAAAAAAAAAACTTGATGATTAGCTGATTGATTGATTGGCGTTTAATGGCGCAGTAACATAAAACATTTATAAAGAGTGGGGGATAAAAGGTCTCCTGGTGCGTTTTGAAATTTACATTAAAATCTCTGGCTCCATTTCAACACTTGTTAATCTGAACACATTTTTATAAATTAAGAATGAATCTCACTTTATTTGTAATCAATAAAAAAAAAAACAGTCAACAGAAGGAATTGTGATCCTCGTAAGTTGAGTCTAGTTGAATACATAGAAAGAACACTTATAAAACTGCATAAAAGAAGCTATACATACAACACCAAAACGACGTTCGCAAGTTCGACCATGAGCGCAGTGCGGTTGGTGAACACTGTGACGTCAAAGACCATTACATTGACTTAACACCCACATTCTTGATATTGAAATCAACCACCGACAGAGACTTTTCTTAGAGACGTGGCACATACAAACTATGCCAGAAAACATAAATCAATCTCTCGGCATTTTACCATCCATGTACATCCATGGGCTCCGAGACGTCGTAAATTCAAAAAGAAGTGCACCACCGTAATAGAAGACTAGAACGAAAACCCTGCTCAACAGCCATTGCCACAGCAGACGACACTCTCTACTCTACGGTGTTGTGCGTTGTAGTGATAGTGAGGGTCTGTGGTTTTACGAATTGCATCTGCCTGTGGGGTTCAATAACACCACGAAGAGATACAGCAGAGTAACATCTTATATAGAGCGCAAGTTTGTCTGCTCCTTGCGCAGGGGTTGCGGTGACGTCAGAACGCCAAGCTCTGATTTGCTCCAGCTGGAAAGATAGTGGGTAGATCTCAAGGCAGCTAGCATTGAGGTTTACCCACTATTCTAATCAGGGCCAATCACAGCTTGCTGTTCTGACGTCACCGCCATCCCTGCGCAAGAAGCAGACTAACTTGCGCTTCGTATTGATCTCCGACTGAGGAGTCTTGGCGATGGAAGGGGTCCGAGCAGTCCTATATGAACGCTGGTTCCTAGTGTTTGCATCGTGCTAGAAAACAGTTCACACCTTGCTAGCAAATAAAACCTTCCACGCCAGTCTGCTTCGAAGCGGCATCTGGGTCCACATGTTCGCGGATCGCGAATGCAGCCCCCACGGTACGTCCCCTCGGAGGCGATGCCCGCGGATCGAATGTGAACGGCGAATTGTCTGAAATCTCGTGCTGGAAATCTTAAGACATTTGCTGGTCACTGCTTGACTAAGACAAGCGTGATGAATAATAGTCCATTATTTCCCACGGACGATCACGACGGCCTTCTGACGCTGTGCGAAACAGGCTCAAGCTGCCCATGTGCTGATGTATATGCAACGTCTGACATCACAACAAGCTGGCTGACCAGTAAAGTTGCAGGTTAGTTTCGGTTTAGGTTATACCGTAATTCTATGATTAAAATTTGATAAACGTTTTTTGGGGGAAATTTATTTGCGATTTAAGGCTCAGTTTCTTGTGTTCTTTTAGAAAATATGTTCATATTGCTGCTGGAACTTCCCTTTAAGGGAGTAGTAATTGACAGTCAGCATTTATAGGACTTTTTCTATGAAGAAAAGCAATGAAAGGCAAAAAGTCCATAAAAAATAGACACCAGATGTGTGATTTGAACACTGTCATGTTTTCACAGCAGTGGATGTCAACTTTTCCACTTAACTAAACCTGACAATTGTTTGACAGAGATCAAATTTCATCAAGATTAAAATGATATCTTATGAGCTGCTCTAAGATTGTCTTTGCTAAATTATGATTACTAAAGGTGTGCAACTTTGGAATTCTTATGTACAAGAAGGCTAAGTATAAAACCTCCCAAAACATTTGTCATATATGCATCACAATGAAGTGGAGAAAGAGAGGGTTATACAAGCCTTTGGTACACATTCCTGCCTGATATGAAAGCTTGGATACTTGAGGTTTTTTGGTGTGATTCAGTCCATAGGAAAAGAACTGAGGAATTTCTTCTCAACGCTTATCGTGGGAAAAAAAAAAAAAAAAAAAATAGAGCCGTTGTCTTAAGCAGGAGCAGCACTAAAAGGTGGCAAGAGTGGTTGTGCAAATTTACAAAGGCTGCTGGATTTAGATTTCGTTTTCAGCATTGCCAACATTGTCGGCTTGCTTTTCTCACTAAGGTTCTGGTGTAGTTTTGCATTAATTTTTGGCAAGCACTGGGTAATTGCTTTTCAAGCACTGCTTATTTTAACTGAACTGACAAAGTTTCAGTTGTATTTCAAGGGTAGGCTAGAGAAGCTAGGCTTACACCTGAGCATATTGCAGTCGTGCCTTCGCATATTCACTTTGGTGGAGAAAAGTTCTCTGGAGACATAGACAACATCCACTTTCCTGGCACAAGCGTTGTCTTTGAACACTTTGGTCAGGCACGGCTGAGCCAGTGCAGTCAGATTGTTTCTTCGAGCCAGACTGAAAGCAGAGATGAGACATGGGGCATATTATTAGTAGGTGCAAGTCTTCCGTAACCAGGATTTCTTTCCTACAGCTAGTAATCCTTCAAGTAAAAAACAAAAAAAGTGGACACTGTGCAGGGAAGTTCTTGTGAACCTTGAAAAACCCTCAAAGACAACTTTGTTAAGCCACCTTTAACCAAACTTTCCTGTAATATAGAAGAAAGGAATGGGTGTAGTTAGTGTTTTACCTGCAGTTTGATGTAACTGGATCATTCAAGAAGCATTTGTATAACTCTTCAACAATTTTCTTCCTGTTACACTCATGTGGAGCACCTGCAATATATTCTCGAATTACATTTGACTGCATTTGTAATCATGCTGGCCTAATGTAACTTTTTAAAATAGTAAGTGGTGTGCAATTAAGAATTTAAGGGCATGTAGGTGTACATTTTAAGCACTCACATTTTATCTTGTAGCTGTTAGTCAGCTGTTCCGATGCATTGCGTATTTCTACCACTGCCTGGGAATCGGCAACGTTTTTACTTAGAATAATGGCAGATTCTGTGCATAGTGCAAAGAGCTGTAGGGCTCTGGAAGGCATGCAACAGGCCCATGCATTTAAAGCAAATGGCATTATTGGAATATTACATTCTGAATTTTTAAGCTGCAAAACTATGCTCAGAACCAAGGTCTGTGTTTACCGGCATGCATCGACCACCTTCGTTTCTCGAATTTGCGCAGACTTCAGGACACGATCGGATTTTCTTAACATGATCTGGCACTGGTCGAATTCATTTTTCATAAACTTGGTCCCAAGAGATTTAGTAATTTCTGCAGTGAATGAAATGAGACATTGAAGATATAAGTGCAGGAGTTCATTACAAAGTGTTAATGCAATATTTTTCCAGAAGCAGCTACAACACATACGGTCAAATCCACACGTCGCTCGGTAGTCTAGGAGATTCTCCCTGACGTGTTTGGCGATATCAGAAACTTTTGCTGGATCGGCAGTGCAAGCCAGCTTTATGTTGGTTTTTTCGGTGCAACTCAGGTAGTTGGCAACTGACAAAGAGCTGAATATTTCTCAAATAAGCAACATAAATACATAAAAGCTGTGGTTCAGAGCTGCTTTGCTCGATTAATCGCCTTGCAGTTTCTTACCTGCAGGAACTAGGCTTTACAGGAGAGGTGGCATCGAAAATTGAGGACTTGCATTTTTGCAGGTCTCGTAACACTTGATCTTTCTCACATGATCCTGCACATAAAAAAAACATTGGTGATTTTAAGCATAGGCAATATGCATAGAACTATAAATTAAATGATAAGATTAATGCTTTTAGCCTAAATATTTGGAGGCTTGGTTCACAACTCTGGGATACTTTGGGAGAAGGGAGGGGTATTGAAAGACATATGGTGAACAGGCCTGTAGTCCGTTGCAACTGAAGAAGGTAGGGTGAGGGTAAGACGGGCCAGGGAGGCGGAAGGAGACGGAACGCAAAAGAGAGGAGGATGTTACCCCCCCTCTTCTCCAGTGTTCTCTCTGCTTCCCCCTTCTCGGCCCATCTTACCCTCACCCTACCTTCTTGAGCTGCAACGGACTATAGTAGAAATTTGAATGCATTTTGGTGCTTATGCTCTCCACCTGCGACTTTATTGCAGCAAGCTGGTGCATTAGTTTCTGTAACTCATCCCTTTTCTACCAGAAGAGCACAATAAGGGGAAAAACCTGTATTGTGCCACATTGATGGGCTAAAGATGTAAACTTTTACCAGCTTACAGTGGCACAGCCAAAGATTTTTTCTGGGGGGGGGGGGGGGGATCTTTATAATCTCCATGACTCACTGCCAGAGTTGGTAAGTACTTTAAATAGATTGTACTTGAAGTAGGTTTAGGAAACTTGTACTTTACTTGAAGTACATTCTTTGAGTATGTACTATGTTTTACTTAAACTATTTTTTTCTGGTACTTTCCGAGGAAAGTACAATTCCTGACTTCAGGGTACATTCTCCAAATTTCGTTTTGTTTAATTTGTGTCACGAAAGATGGTTTGTCAACTCCGAAGAAATACTGGGAGGGATATTCTACTCTCACGAGAAACGTGAGCAAACGACGCATCGCTCCATTTGTTCTGGGAGCGGCTTTTTCGTAGCTTTTTGAACTCTCGCCACTTCTCGGTCGGTCAGCGCAAGCGAAAAGGTTTACAATATTAGGAAAGCAAAATTAATCATAATGTAGCACCTGAGACTGTGGTGTGGAAAAATTAAACTTTTAAGTCGAAGAAAGAGACAACAGAGGAGAATGTCACAATGTTTTGAGACATTCTCTTTTGTCTTTTCCTTTGATTTGAAAGTTCCTTAATTTTTTGTCACCCCAATCTCAGGTGTCACATTATGACTAATTATCACTGGCTTGCTTGCACACTCACTGTTTTTTTTCATTAAGGAGAGGACACTCCTCTGTGAGAGGATTGCTTGCGGAAGCTACAGGTTTGATGTCATGCTCTCCTAGTACATTTAACCCCCTTCGGTGCAACAATCCTTCGCCGCTGTTTTTGAAAATAGGTCATGCACTGCGATTACCCCTGGGCAATGCATACCAGTTAAAAAATCATTATATGGGAATGAATGGGCATCATGAAAGGTTGTGTAAAAATACTTGTACTTTACTTTAAAAGTACATTGTATTTATAGTACTTTACTTCAAGTACACCGCACCCAGTGTACTTAATACTTTACTTGAAGTACATCACATCTCACTTACTTTGTACTTGAAGTACCTTTTAGATGTACTTTACCCAACACTGCTCACTGCCAGCTTGCCTGCCTTATCAACATTTCTTTACATATATGAGCCTAGCTTGCCTGCCTTATTATTACCATTTCTTCACATATATGAATGTGAAACATTTGCTCTTTACCAGTTGGGGTAAACTCCCTCAAGGAGAGCATTCGAAATGGAAAATGCATTAGTGCCACTCTTACATATGAGAAAAACCAAGAGAGTAGCAGAAGAAAAATGGAAACAAATCACAGTAATAAAAATTGTAAAAATATTGCCAAGTCCTTGCAGTTAAAAAAGCCCAGTAAAGCGATGAAAGAGTTGAGTGGTCATCAACTTACCAATTGGAGCAGCATGCTCAAAGCAGGTCCAGTTGTATGAGTTGAATAGGAAGTTCCTGTAGTACTGCACTTCGGCTAGTTTGAATAGTGCTGCACTTTTGTCACAAGTTGTTTTTTGCATAGCATGCCTGAAGCAGTTCTGGTACTCTCTTGTACCCCTGGTTGTGCACAAAACGGGCTAAAGTCATGTTGCAATAAAATGTACACTAGCACTTGTTTCAGCAGAGGAGCAAATAATGCTTGCTTGTGCAGCTATAAAGCAAACAGAAGCTTACCCACAAGCAGTGATTGGGTTTTGTACCCAGCCTTCTTGCACAAATGGAAGGACTTTGACTTTGATGATAGGTGCACATTCTGAAAGTTCTGTGTACAGAGACCCTATTTGGCAGTCTGAAAACACAGGCTTGGTAAGTTCTCCAGTATTTTGTCAAATATTGCATCATTTGCATACCTAAGTTGACATGGCAGTTTTTAGCATATGGCCTAAGGAGTTTATCTGTAAAGTACAGGACTTCAGGTGATGTAAGGATATTCTGGTAGTATTCACAGTCCGACTCAAAGATAGAGTTTCGTAGACACCACTGGTAATTTTGAATATCTCTGAAACATAGAGCAAAACAAGCTTAGGAAGCAGTTTTTTTCTTTTGCTCAAAATAGTGTAAAGATGGAAGACAAGCCTACACTTGTAGCACATTCATGTGGCCCAGTTACTGGTTTGCTGCAGTCAGCTAATGGAGAATTATAGGGAAACTGAATTGAAACTTAACATATACCTCTCACGTACAGAAATAAGTTAAACGTGATCAACTCTATCTGCTGATGACAATCGCACGCTTGTATTTTGAACGGATGGCTATATTTTTTGTTCCAAGGGACGGATTTCGGCAAGCGCTCAAAGATCAGTCGCCGAAGGGTGCAATGCATCACAGGAGACGTGTCATCAGCTGGCCCAGCATGGGCAAAGCTGCTTAGAGGCTGGTGGGGTTATGAGCTCCGCCGCTTGGTGTCATCAGTGCGTCACAACCTGGCCAATTTAGTTGCCCCTCCCTGCTCCTTGCAGGAGTTGAATAGGCTGGGAGAGAAAAGAAATCTGGTTTGACAGGGCTTGCGCACATGCAGCTTGCCATCATACTTCCGCAGAGCGGCGCTGCTTTTAAATTCAGAGTGACGTAACAACATTCGGCTTATTCCTTTTAAGTAATATTTTGGTGTCTTCTCGAGCAAAAAATTGGTGTCTCCGTGGTGAAGCCAGTATGTGGTTCACATTTAGACAGTAACATAGGTACTAGAATTCTGTTCCAGTATCTTTTTGAGAGGGGGATCCATGCGGTAGCAGAGGTAGTAGCTTGATCGGGCAAGAATTTTATGTCAGGTGATGTTAACAGAAAAAGGTTGTACACTACAGATTAGTTATATCAAACTAAAAATTGAGAAGGTTAAGTTAAAGTTGTGGTGCAAAGGTAGGAAGAGAATGAGGGACTACATGGGGAGGTGCTGGTTCAAAAACAATTTTGGTGCACCTGCAAGCAACGCATGTAAAAAATAAAAAGGATGTTTACTTAGAAGAAAGGGTTACATAAATCTACAAGAGATAAAAATGCAGGCAATTCGCCTTTTTGATATATGCAACTTAGGTACATCTGCTAGATAAAAAAGCCAGAGCCTTATAACATATATACTTTGGCCAAGTTTACAAACTGCCAATTTTTTTTTTTTTTTTTTTTTTCAGATAACAAATGAAGGTATCAAAACATTAGTAAAAATACCTAATTGCTGCACTTCTGACTGCTAAGTCTCTTCGTAGCAGCGCTTAATTTTTGGGGGATTCTAGCTATCAGGTTGCACCAAATATAAATTCCATTTACACCATGTGCTCTCGCCCAAGAAGAAAAAATGTAGACAAGGTGGGCTTCAAAAGTTAAGTAACCTTATAACAAGGGTAACACAATTACCTGCAGTCCATGCCACTCAGAATATCAACATCCACATAGTCACGCACATGAGATTTCATAAATGTGGCTTCACATTTTGCAAGGTACAGGAGAAGAACCTCAGGATTACACATATAATCTAGGAATGTTTATAGCATGTTAGAAGAGGGCTCTCACAAATTCAAATGAATTTCCAAATAGGTTTATTTGCTTTAAGCTGATATAAGGTAGAAAACTTACCTCCATTGCCACTGCACACCCACTCATATTTCTTCTTTAAAACAAAAATATAATACCTTGACTCTTCTGAAAATGGTATTTTCAACCCATTTGAACAGTCTTGGGTTGGAATTTTTGCTATGCAGTTTTGGAATTTTCTGACGGCCCTAGAAACGACACCAAGGTATTTGAACATTTTAGCCCCCCATAGTTGAACTATTCTTCACAGACATTCTGTGCTGTACTAGCAGTCTTACTTGCAAGCATCATTAAGAAAGGGAGAATCACTGGGCTCATCTGTGTATGGAATGACTTCTGTAGAGATTATTTGACTGCATTCGATGTATCTAATTCGCAAAGCTTCTTCATTGCACCGTGATATTTGTCCAGCGAGTTCTTGGTGGGCCACTTTGAAGTCAAATTTTACCAGGACATGGAAAAGGGAGTGGAGCAATGTTACATCTACCCCAGTAACATATGTTGGATGAACAAGGTGCCATTATTTTTTAGATTGAGAAAGGATGGTCACAAAGCAAGATGACACATATGCCAGCCAGCATGATGGAACTTGTAAATAAAAAAAAAAAAAAAATGGCCTAAAAATTGTGAGTTCCTTGGTTCTAAAAAAAAGAAGGATTAACAAATTGGGGGATTCGTAAATAGAGTGGGTCAGTTAAAGCTGAGCACAAGCACCTATTTGTGGCAGTACTTTTCGTGGGTGGCACAACGTTGGTTGATACATCCAACAGTGCGGCATTCCGCACATACATTGCAAACAGCTGATTTTTCTATACTTCAATTATTTTTTGCCAGACGAAAAGTGCAGAAAAACGTTGACAAGAATAAATTTCTCATGACAATTAATATGCTGGAACACCAATATACTTAATTTGTAGTCGTCAGATAATTCAATAATAACGAAAAAGTGGCACTTAAGAATATGCAACCTTAGTTATTTTGAATGTAAAGCTAACCCACCTTTGTAGTTGCAGTAATGCTCATATTGCTTGAGTATGTCATAAGTAAAGTGCTGCACGACTTTGCTTTGCATGATTGTAGCATTGTTTTTGCATGTCTCGGATGTTACATTCAACAGACACATCTTGTAGGTTGTGTAAGCTCTGAAACCAGATGGTCTATTGTAACATCAAGGATTTAGGATAGATGGCTATTTTGCCTTTGGTAATACGCACAATTGTTGCTCTGTGTTACTCACTCTGGTCTAGTGCCCTCCAGCTCAGCTCCCGTATTTATACATGTTTTAATCAAATGGACATTAGCAGCACCTTGAAAAGGGCAGCTCACCAAAACAGTTTTAAAAATGGAGTTTTTGAACCTGGACTTTCTGTCCTCCATGGGTATAAAGCACAATTATAAAGTACCATGGTACAAGTAATTGCACACTAGATACTTTTCATGTACCTACAGTACCAACAAGGTATTCCTTGTTTCCTGATAACTATACCTTGGGTAGAATTTATAGTAACTTGTAGCTACAACGAGTTACATTTTGGCAGGCACTTTTCTGGAATCCCTAGCAAAATGAAAAAGGGCTTGTACCTACACAAGATGTATCTAAATGGTTGAATCAAATCGAGTGTCTGTGGTTCAGATGCTTTCTTACATAAATTCTTAATTTTTTTGTGAAACAGCCTGAAAAATACAACCTGAAAACAACTTTGCACAAAATTAAAAGATGGAGGAATGTTAACATGTAGCATACTTTTGGGAATAATCTCTAGATATTGAATGATTTAGGAAAACTCCCCAAGATCTACACAAGATTAAATTGATTTTCATCTGAGATGAAGTGCAACTCCCACACAAATTGGAGAGATGCGAGTTGCACTCCATCGTAGCTGGAAGTCAATGTATTCTTGTTAGAATAGCCCCTAGGCAGATTTATACTATAATTATAAATTCTGAAGACTCCTCCTTCTGCTAAAGCGTGATAATGCCCAGAATAAATGAAGGAACTAGTAAAAAACCGAGCATGTACCACACTGGATCAAGCGCCTACCTTGTTTGTTTTTTTGTAAACTTCAGAATGGTGAGAGTTTAAAGTATACATTATTTTTGCTAAACACTCCTAACTTTTGCTAAAAACTTTTCACTAGGGTAAGCACTTGTTTGGTATGTTACACTATTTTAGATGCAATTTGTGTAATTCATTGCATAAACTGGCAATAATGAACCACTTTTTTTATTGATACTTTTCTATAAATGAGAAAATGTGCTAATACTCTACATGCTCTCCTTTCATTTTTATTGTAAGTGCTGTGCTAAATTATTTATAGAGAAATACCTGCAGCCTGCCATCTGTTCACTCGTGCTATAGTTTCCATAGCTTGTGGGCACAGCACTCTGCTGTAGCTCAAAGGCACAAGAGGCCATCTTGAGAAGGAGAGCTTGCTCATTGCAATGTCCTCCTACAAAGGAAGCAGTTGAATAAATATTTACACTTAGTCCCACTGACTTTTGAAAACTTTAAAACATAAGAGACCCTGAGTGATTAGTGCAATTTTGCAAATAAATTTCTTGTTCTGGTACAAATGCCTGAGATATTTGTTCTGCAACTTCCACCCTGATAAACAAAAGTTGTGAGCATGAACAAACATGTGTTATTAACATATACCAATATATTTGAATTGGCATGCTGAAATTGATTGTAAAGCTTGTTTATAGGAACACGTTTTTATGAGGCAGACATTTCCATATCCTTGTCTGTTGTGTGGTTGCCTATTGCTTTGCCTTTGCTTCATTTTTTAGAAGCTTAAAAGGGTCTCTGTAATTTTTTCTTATGAGCACTTGTATCTTCACTGACATGTAAAATGAGGATAGGTAATATTTACTCATAGAGGTCCATGAACATGTCCACATCAGCAGCTTTGGAACTTTATCCTTGAAGTATAGCATTTCATCTGTGTATACAGGCTTCCTCTTGCATAAGTCAAGCAGCTTCTTACTTACGCAGACCTGGTAGTGACGTACCCCCCTGAAATAATTATGGACACATAGGAAGAAGTGTAGGATGCTGAAGTATTACTTTTTAAGTAGCCATTAGGAACATTCTTGTTTTGCATAGCTTTTGTTTTGCATGATCGGAATATGAAAGCTGTGTACTGAAACAACCAAGAAGCTTGTTGCATTTGGAAGAGGGGACATTGTCATAATGAAAAGCACGAAGGTTCTTTTGGTGGAATGTCCCAAACTGTTTTTTTTTGTTTTTTTTAATATAAGGAGGAATCAGAAAGAAGAGCGAAAGCAAAGAAAGAAATAGTAGAAAGGTGCATTGAAAGAACTGCATATAGTTAGACTAAGAATCGAGTTTCTGGCGAGTGAATTGGTCATTGTTCCGGCAGGTTCAAGATGGTTATTCTTTTGGATAGCTGTAAGCTGCATGATGTAGCATTGTGGTTACCAGTTTTTAAAATTTTTTTTATTATACTATTAAAAAGTAAAAACTAATGTAGTTCGAACATAAGCACTGAGGGTTCAGTTAACTTTTTGGCATTCATGTCTTTTTTTTTCTTTTACCTTGGTATGTGCGCACTTCGGAGTTTATAATATTGTAAACATTGGTTATAGGAAAACCCGCCTTTCGAAGAATGCCCAGCCAGAACAACTTGCTACGATCAAAGGCAAGTACATGTCTTACGTATAATTCAGCACTTTTCTTTTTCTCCTAAGCACTGTTTGCTTTTTTGCATGATTTTTTTCACCGACTCTTTTCATAGGTATATTATGCTCTATGTGTGCATATGTGATATACCTGTGACAACTTTTAATTGTCATATAAGTGCTAGTAATGTCAAGTCCTGCCAAAAATAAATACTGAGAGACAGGAAGCCTAGCATAGGCAATGAAATCTGCATGATTAATTATTTGTTAGGCCAATGTTTTTTCATAATTTGGTTAAGTGGTTTTTACTGAAGGTTTGGTGTTTTAGCCCAGTAACAATTAGGATGACTGTACTATTTCTATTTTTAACGTTTTTACTTGAGAAAGTGGAAAGGCAAGATAAATTTTAAGATGGCAGGATTATTTATGAAAAGTTATAGGATCCACTATGCAGTTTGTTTTTTTTCAACTACAGCAGCACAAGCACTGAAATGGGTAAAGGGAGACGAAAAGAGAACAGAACCATTTCCACAAAAAAGGTTAAGGAAACTAAAGGTCGCTGGTGGAAGCAAGGTGTTAAAGAAGCTTGACGATTACTGAATGAATGCAGTCAAAGGCTTTGAGGAAAAATAAAAAAAAAAGCACTTGCCGACAAGCAGTCTCCATCCTTGTGGTATTGTCGTAGCTGAGTATATTTGGCAGCACATCGGTTGACAAAATTTTATAGCATGGTTTAAGGGCTGATTTAAACTTGGGAGCTGTGCATATTTCTGGAAAAAATGTAAACAAGTTTTTATTGATTGGAATCCTGCAGGACCGTTAAACATTATTTTAAAATATGGGAACTGATTCAGGGGTCGCTGCACTTTCAGAGTGTTATGGTAAGTTTGCGCAAGTTCTCAGAATTTTCGGTTATCACCTAAAACGGGTCGGCAACCCACGGCCCGTGGGCCGTGGGCCGACCATGAATACATGCGGCCCCCGGCATGTTTTCAAAAAGCCCCTCCCCCCTCTGCTGTTTCCTCACATAGAGTCAAGGACCACAAAGCAGTTTTGACCAGTGTTGTAGGTGTTACCGAAAAAAAGTAAAGAAATACATACACGTTTCTAGGTTTCAGCTTCCTGTCAGAGTGCATCTTTGCGCCAGCAGTCCTGCCCCACGTTGGCCGAGACGTGCAACGAAAGTACATGCTTACTTCCATCCTTCGATGGAGGGAAGGCAGTTTTCATACCTTGGCCACATGGGGCCAGCACCGCTGGTGCAAAGATGCACTTCGATAGAAAACCGAAACCTAAATGCGCCTAAATTGAGAGTTTTTAGGAGCGCCGTGAAATGCTGTACCTGCCTTGTACCTTTTTAAAATTAGTTGATTGAGTGTTTCTCGATGATGCTCCAAAAGTTTCTAATTGAAACCATATGTTTATTTAGGCTAATTAAAAAGTAATTAGTACATTTCATTTCATGTACTAATTAATTAGTATGTTTGGGTTTTTCAATCCCCGATGTAAGCTGTGGCTGGCACTTTGTTCCCTAAAAGAGGTTCTTTTGTATAAACCACTTTATTTTTAGCAACTTCTGAAAGTGTTGAAACGCCCAGTATCTTCTTGCCCCTTTCACTTTGTAATGGTCTTCAAAGAATGACGAAAATAATCCCTGGAAAAGGGGAACAAGAGGTACAAAGGACAAACACAAATCTCCAAACACAGCTAGGTGACTGGTGCGCGTCCGAAAAAATCCGCCTGGTCCGGGTATCGAACCCGGGACCTCTCCATTACAGGTGGAGCGCTCTACCAATTGAGCTAACCAGGGGTTAGACATCAGTAGAGCAAACGGGTTTTATCAGCCGCCACCAGTCTAACACCAACAAGGGTGAAGCTTGCAATTTAAGGTTATGATATAATGCAATTAAATGCAAAGGTGCAAGCGAGCTGGACAAGAATGACGAAAATCCAGCTCGCTTGCACCTTTGCATTTAATTGCATTATATCATCTTCAAAGAAACTGTTTACGAAGCTCTTTCTTCATATCATGCCCTTGTATTTCGGGTATGTTGTCTCTGTCTTGATTATTTAGAGTTTAAAAATCTGTCTTTAATGCCAGTGTCTTCAGAGTAACTACTGCGTAAGCATTTTAGTGTACATTTTTTTCGTGCAAGAGCAAATGTATAGGAATTCGGGAATTTTATTACTTTAATAGCACTGAATGAACAGCCAAGCTGCACAGTTCTGACTTTAAGCATCAGTTCGACTTTTTTGAAAAGGGTCACAGGTCGCCATACTTTTGGGTGCCTGGTAAAAGGTGCATGCTTTTGAAATTGTCTTACTCACTTGAATTTTCCTCGCATGTCCAATTGTATTTTTCCTCAATGGCAATAATTAATTTATCAATGTCTCCTTCGTTTTCCAGCTCATCTTCATTTTTGCAATGTAACAAAGCTTTCACATTGGTGACACACCACTTGTACTCACTCAGGCCCCTGTGAAGTGTTGTTGGATTACTTAGCTATAGTATTAGCAACTTTACTCCATGAAATTTGATTGGCTTGCCTGCATGCCAGCCTACTTTGGTACTGGTTCCCTCTGTCCATGGTGTATGGTTGGACTTGCTTGGAGATTATTTCTTCACACCTATACAAGCCTTGCAGGAGTTCCTCTTTGTCACACTCTGCAGCAAGGAAAGTTATATGTTTGCTTAGCTATCAAGGTATCATAGTCAACTTGAAAATAAGTGCATAACAGTCCAGTTTTGTGGGCTGCCAATGTTTACTGTTCATTATGTTTTTATACTATATTTAAGAAGCTGCTATATACCTATACATTTTTTTCTCTCCATAGTTTGGGTGCTATTTAAATGAATTGCAGGACAATGAAGGTTTTTTTTTTCTTGCTGTGCCTATTTCAGTTTTCAATTACGGTACACATAATCGTAGACAAGTGCCGAAAATTTAGACTGGGACGAGAAGTTTACATAAACACTGGCGCTAATATCTACGTCAACTTCTCGTCCCTGTCTATTTTTTCGGCACGTGTCTACGACCGTGAACCAACTGGCCCAAATTGCCACATTAAAGCTGGTACACATAAGGTTAAAATATGTCATGAAGCCTGATCCTCAGATGATAAACTGCATTATATTTAATAATACTAATAATCTGGCATCCCCGGCTTTCCCTGGAGCTGAGGTGGTGTGAACCAATTTCATATGCACCAAATGCTATGTTATTCTGCATTTGTGCTAAGTAACTTAACTCCTTCCTTGCCGTGCCCATAGGCCAATGATCACCCGCGATCAATGGTTTCCAAGCTTTGTCAAGAAATTAAATTTAGTGCAGAGAATTATGTTCCACAATCTTGTGGATAGCCGAAAAATCATAGTTTCGGTTTCAACATAGTTTTGAGTTTTATCACGAGCTGGTGGACTGTCAATAATAGTCCTGGTAATGTTGGTTGCACTTGTCTAACATGGTTAACTGCTTGCATCAGTCTTCGTTACAAAGATATCATTATTTACATAATTCAACTGTATTGTGGCATATTCTTTAGACCTCAAGAGATCTGGGGGCACTTTAAATGAGGTTATAGGCGTCACATAGCTGATGTTTGTCGGTAAGCATCACTATGATTTCCAATGCTGTCCTGAGCCAGCGTGCACGTTTTATGTTCCCAACAAGGCGGGCAGAAGTGCTAAATATGATGGAAATGCAATCGAGGCTATGGTAAAGCCAATGTAGAACACAAAGAAAGCCTTCTGCTGGGGATGTGAGGTGTACTATCTGTGTTTCACCCAATATAAGCATTCCTTCATTGAAAAGCACATGTGGTACTGAGGCTAACTCTCCGACGAACCAAAAATGGATATCAGTTAGAGTGCACTAACTTTCAGAAGTGATAACCGTGGTTGTAGACACACTTTTTATATTCTGATTTATTTTAGTTGTCATTTAGTTTGACTAGCTGTAGAAGTTTTTGGCATTTATATGCCTTCCACACATACATTTTATTTTCAAGAAACAATTTTAAAATCTGTTTTCTGCATTATACCAACCTGTTTCTTTTAAAAGAACAACTAATTGGCCACATTTTGATATGTCGTATTGCTCTATTTGCAAGTAAATTAGGAAAATGGAAGCGTTTGCACTTATCCTTTGAAAATTGCTACTTTTCCCATGGTCAGGAAGTAGTTAAGGAAAATGGCCATTTGCTATGGTGGAAGTTTTTGCTCCCTTACTTAATTTCTGAATAGCTCATAAAACAGAATTGTATTTTTAACTTTCATAGTAATGTGATATGGCAATTCTAGTAAAATTCCTAACTCTATAGTGTTCAAACAATGACCTTTCATATCAAAGGAATGTGGTTAAACTTCCCTCTCTTTTGCATTCAGAGCATGGTTCACTGATTAAAAGCTATAGAGGGTTGTTTTTTTTGTTTGTTTTAGTGCGACCAGAAATTAAAGAAAAAAAGAGAACTGCATAGCGGTTCTTTTAGCCCTGGCACTAAGTCGCAGTTGTCATGGATGCCACTTGAAAAGACACAGAATATCTAATTTTCAGTTTTCAGTTTTTGGGGCATAATGTAGTTAGAGAGTGCATTCCTCAACCTCATTGTAGTCTAGCCGTGACATGGAATTTTGATTAAAAAGTTCATTATGGGTGCTACAGGCTGAGAAATGTCATCCTTGTATATGGCTTCAAACCGAAACTAATCCTGCTAAGAGCATCCATGACGTTCACCCCTCCGCTTTGTGCTCGTGTGGTATTGATCACGTGACCTGTGGCACGGACATGTCGGTTGTCTAGCCGGCACAGAGCGGATTGATTGACGTCACTGGCACTCTTCTCTAAGTCAGTTTCCGTTTGAACTGAAACTTCAAAAAGTTAATCAAAACTTTAGGTATTTTGCTAACTAATTAACAAAGTTAGTCTCTTTTCTAGTGGCCCCCAACTTAGCCCCAGGGCTAAAAAAAACTGTAATGCAAGTAAAAAACATTCAGCCTTTCCACTCTCGTGAAGAAGGAAGACCAGCGGAGCTGCACTCAATACACTGCTGCAACGCGCACGCGCCCGTTTCCTGCTTCTTCTCGTCCGACATGCCGCTAATCGTTGATATGTCTCCGATTGTGGATATGTCTCCGGCGGCCCAGAGGCGGTCGCACACAGCGCACACAGCGCACATGACGCCAAACGGGTAATCCACGAACTCCTTCCGGAACCTCGCCATTGCGCCCGGGAACTGTTCAGCCGGCGTGGAGTGCAGTCGTCGCCGGGACTCGCGCTTGCACTTGGCCTCAGGGGCACGATTGTCGTCCGTGGCGTTGGCCCGCCGGTGCCCTTTACATCACTGGTTCTGTCCTCGGCGGAGGCTTTCCAGGCATGCAATGTGCTCTTCTTTGGCAAGGGAGTCTGAAGCGCTCGACGCAGTGGAAGTCAAGGCGAAAGCAGCTTTGCGGCGGTTACGAACCCATTCGCGCTGCTGCGTACATCGCCGCACCTTCCGCAGCCAGTCTTCTTTCTCCGAAAGGACGCGCGGCCGACCCATCTTAAGTCAAAACCGAAACTGATAAGAGTGTAGGAAACACCGCACAAAACAGACGAGGATGAAGAAACACTTGTGACGAGCGCTGCGCTCGTTACGTTTGCTCCTTCTTTGTCGTCTGTTTTTCGCGCTGTTTCCTACAATGAATTCCCACCAACGCGCCCAATTATCTATTCTTCTATGATAGCTGGAAAGGTCTCCGCCATCTACGAGCGACGGCGGCAACCAGACTGGTTGTGTGCTTGCCGCCGTCGCTTATAGATGGCTTTAACTGTCCAGGTAGGTTTGTGTCGACAGGCGTTTGATATCGGACACGATCCTGGGGAACCCAGCCCTTAACAGCTCCGCTGTAAAAATTCTGGCCCCACGAAAGAAACGCCCTGTATAGCGTTTTCTGGAAATGGTTCAGCACTGGCGGGGCATGCCGCATGTTTTTAAAATGCTTGTTGAGCCTTTGAAAGGTAAAGGTTGTGTGCTAATAATGTAAAAAGTTACCTGATCGTGCTCCACCACAAAATTCATCAAAAGCACTATACAGAACATCTGTATAATGTTCTAGCTCTTTTGACTGCAGGAGATGGTTGCTTAGAGTGCAGGGAAGGTCCATCTTCTTATGGATGCATTTCTTGTACGCTAGAACTTTCCTGCGGAGCATTGATGTGCATGAAGTTTGTTTAGGTTTGCTATGCAATGAGAAATCTTGAAAAACTTACTCGCAAGGATCTATTCTTGCACTTTTCACAAAAGAGCTTGATAACTCTTGCAAGATGTGTGTACATTTTTTGATGTTGCTAATAACTTGATTTCCATTGCAGTGAAATCCTGTATAATGGCCATGGATTATGCAAGTAACACAACTCGATTGTGGTAAGAGTACTTAGTGTCTTTGTTGTGTACTTACCATTGCATGACCACTGAAAACTTGAAGACAGCTTATTTGTAAGGAAGCTTAAAACTCCCACATGGCTTGCTGCATTATCAATGTGGACATTTTGGCAGTTAGAGTTTATTATATATTTGACACAGCGTTTGTAGTGCTTGTAGCCCCTGCAAAACAGTTTTTTTTTATTTTCTAGTTCTTAAAATAAATACAAAGTACATAATATGCAAAGTAGACAAAGTGTTATCTCTAGCCTGACAAACTTACTCGCATGCTGCTTTCTGAACCTTTCCACTGGCAATTCCATTGATGTGTGGTATGAGCTCATTTTTAAGAATTTCCAGACAGGCAGGAATAGATTTTGACAGAAAGGCTTCATCACACACTGCCTCTGTGATGGTAAATGTGGAATTAGGTATGGCTTGTCAATTGTATATTTGAGGTAGCAACTGCCATATTGGCTTCAAAACATGTTAAGGGGCGAAATGATGAAGTGCTACATATTTGATAATCATCTATAGCTTTTGACACTAAAAGATTGTTCCACACATAATACATACCAGTTTGCACATTGCAGGTCCAATTATAGGTTTCATACAAGACCTTAGAGTAGTCCAGAACGATTTTAACACTTTCCTCATGGTTTGAGCACAGTTCTAATTGTGCTAATTGAGAACATGTCTGATAAGACTGAAGAGCTCTGTCACATATTAAATAATTACTGTAAGAACCAGCTGGTTAAATCAACCAATAAACAAAGGAATGGTGACATACCTGCATGTCAGCTCAAGATCTCTTGATACAAACTTGTCATTCAAGACACCAACAGGAATCCCTTTCTCAAAAGAATCTTGACAATGCTTCAGCTTGTCTCTTAAGAGGTCTTGTTGGCAGCTGTTATCTCCTGGGAACAGTTTTAAGTAGTGAGATGGCTAATTAGGGCTATATATTTAAATATAGCTGGAGGGAACGTACGAAACATAGTTGCAGCATCCACAATAGCAATAGATTGTGATGAGTGTTTGTTACTGCAAACCCAGTCATAAGTGTTCAATATCTCTTCAGTCGCTGATCTGACATTGTGGTGGCGAAGAACGATATCATCTGGGCGGCAGATCTTCCCAACTTGAACGGTTGTGCATAGTTCAAATGACTGCATGGCTCTGTATGAGTACAGACATATCAAGAATTACTAGAGAAAGAAGCAAAATTAAGAAAATTGTTTTTTTTTTAGCAGAGACAACTTATTTGGTTACCTGCATGCCATAGATTGGTTATGGTCTGCTTCCTCTTTGTTCAATTTGGCAAAAAGAACAGTTGTTATCAGCCCTTTGCATATTTTTATGCTTTTCATCACATTCTCAACAGTACATTCATGAGCTAAAACAAAGAAAGGCAACAGTCATTAAGTGAACTGAGAGAATCAAGCAAGTAACTTAATTTTTTATTTTGATGTACTTACTGTGGCTGGTGTGACAAACCCAGCTATACTTGCTTGGCAGCTCTGTAAACAACTTCACATCCTTTCGTTTGAAATATTTAGTTAGTGGAGCACACATTTCATAGAGCTTGCTGTCTACACAGTCCTGGTAGTCCTCAAGACCACTGCAATAATTTGGAGCAAATTGGAGGAAGAGCAATACCTTATTCCAGCTATATTTGTTAACATGTTGAGGGGGCCATACAGACCTGCAAGCCATCTGCATTTTATCTTTGTCCAAGGGATAAAAAATGTTGGGAGTTACTGAAAGGTCTATAAAACCCAGGCACGTTTTCAGATGTTCGACTATGTTGTGTGTTTTGCACTCTTGATCTGCAGAGAAGATTTTACTGTTAATCACATCTTATACTGGTAGCCTATTGCTTTTGTTATATTGCTCACTCTGTCCTTGAATGTTGCAAGTCCAACTGAACCTTTTCATGATGTGGCGGGTTAGTCGTCGTACCTTTGTCGACCGCACAAGGATTTTATTTGCGCATATGTTTGATGTTTTGCTTAACACACAGTTCTGGTAATGTTTGAGGCCCCTACATATAAAATATAATTAGTATTAGGCTCATTATCAAAATAATGTCAGGAAGAATGAAGAGGCTCACTTGCAAGCATTTGCAAGAGATGCTTGATCCTTTTTCATAGCTGCATTTGGTATCACTATAAAATACATGATCCCAAGGCACTCTTGCATCTCTTCCAATAGTACTGTTTCATTACATGTGGTTGCAGTGGCTAAAACGGTTGTTGTGCAAGCATTAACAGATTGACTTTACAGTTTATAAGATACAAAGTTATATACCACGTATAAAACATAAATTGTTGCATACTATGGTTTGATGTTTCCTTGCACACCCAGCTGTATTTCTGAGGTACCTCTTTGCTGAGGCCTGCTGTGGTATTGCAATGACCGAGGTTGCGGTGGATGCATTGCTGAAATTGTGTCAAAGCACTGAAACAGATTCAGAAATTAGGAATAAAACATTTGGATTTTAAGGAGTCCAGTAGCAAATTTAAACTATCTTTTCAATCGTACCTGCATGCCTCATGCAGCTTTGGGCTGTTATTCTTTTTGCGCACATTGGGAATTAGGTTTGTATCAACAATCCCATGACACCGATGGGACAAGTCATTGAGGACCTTTGTGTTGCACACATCTGAAAGATTAAACAATTTTCAGGTCTTGTTCAGAGCTTTGGAAGACCAGGCATCTAGGAACAAGTCCTTGCCTATGCCGATGGGATCCTTTTGCCTCGAGCATGCCTCCTCAATGTTCTTTATGCGTTTTGAGGACAACAGGTAAGTTGAGTTCCAAGGCTTCATTGAATTGTTGTAAGCACACAGATTGTAGTAAATCTGCCGAAGGCAGGATTGGTATTCATGAAGTCCCCTGAAGATAAACGATAACAATGTTAAATCTCGGGTTCGCTCAAACATCCTTCTGATGTCTTAGCATGTCAGGAGTCAATTAACATGGTTAATACAAGCATGCAAGGATTCTAAACACTGACTTGCCTACAAACCAGAATGCTACTATCCTGATCATGAATCCCCACATGAGGTGCAGAGCTGAAGTTCAAGTGTAACTCGCAGTTTTTGGCATGTAGGGCCAAGTGTTGTGGTGTGCATTCTAATGGCATAGGAAAGAAGGTGGCTTGTGCTTAACAATGTAATTAGCCCTTAACTTTGGCAACTCACCAATTTTGTGTGCTTTGTCACATATCCACTTGTATTTGTTGTACAAGTCAAAAAGGTACTGCCTTATTAGTGACTTTTGTACGATCGTGGTGTCATACCCACAGTGCCTGCTGATTTTTGAAACAACACAATGCCTGTAATCCTCCAGGGCACTGTAAAAAGGTTGCATTAATAAAATGTCATCAAACTTATTCCTCGTTTTAGCCTATCGGTATAAGTCCGACCCACGTCGGCCTAGTTGCTAATGAGAAACAAAACATTTTATGCAGACTTAGAACTCACGAACAGGCCACTGCCACATCAGTAAAATTGTACAGTGTCTGCAACTTTGGTCGTACTATTGTCATTACAAATCCAAGACAGTGCTTGAGCTCATTCTCCAGGTGCTCCTGATTACAGTCCCCTACGAGAAATGTTGTTGCACTACCAAGCATTTCTTTCTATTTAACACAAGCAACCATACCACTGGTTGCTTTCTTGGAACTGCAGTACCACTTATATTCATTGTACTTATTGTGGAGGAACATTTTTATTTTTGGGTGTGCCATGATGTCCTTTGATTGACAGATCTTGGATTTCATTCTTTGCAGGCACCTCGTATATGATGCAAAATTTCTAGTGAAGCAAAAAATCGGTAGCTGTAATGCCGCTCTAACTATATTCTCTGGGAAAAATAGGACCACTTACTCGCAAACATAACTGTACTTCAGTGTTTCAAATGAGCTATCAACATAGGGCATCACTCCGTGGACAAGAAAAACATCACACTGTTCTAGGTGACTGAGAAGCTTGTCGGTGTCGCATATTTCACCTGCATGTTTTAGACATTGTTGTAAATTGCACTGGGTAGTCGGAGGTGCATTTCACAGCCCTGAGCTGCAGGGATAGTTGCTAGAATTACCATTTTTCTTTTTGTTGCATGTCCAGGAGTATTTGTAATAAAGGTCTTGTGTGTAGAAGCTGATCTCTGATACTTCGGATAGCACTTTCGGCTCCCTGCAGACATATCTAATGTTGAGGTCGATACATTCTTTGTACTGCTGAATAAAGCTGAAAAAATGGAGGTTAATTATTTTGATAGCCTGTTTTTGTGTTGGGCGGTTGTGCAAAATTTAAAGTTGTCGTACCTGCAAGCAACATTCAGCCCAAAACTGTCAGCTTTTCGAAGATTGTGGGGATCTCCAATGCCTTCTATGAATCCTTGACATTCAGCAATGTATGGCAAAATATTTTTCACTGTGCAGTTCTCTGCAATATGTGGATGTCACAAAAACAAACCGTCTCAATCCTTTTTTCCTCTGACAAGAACAGCTACATACCAGGTTTGGTGTTGAGGTCACACACCCAGGATAGATTCCTGGTTAGGCCTACCATGTACTCCTGAATTACTTGGTCTTGAAGCACAGGGCTTGAGACATCACACACTTTGAAAACTTCAGATTGAACGCAGTGGTGGTAATAGGAAATATCTCTGAAAAAAAAAATAAAAGGATGTTGAATAGTACTAATTTAATTATTTTAATCACAACTGTAGATATAGCATATTGAGTGTTGTCGGGACTGATCAAAGCCAGCGCGAGACCTGACCCAGCATTAACTCTCTTCGTACAATGTCCATAGGCCATCGCTCACCTGTGATTGATGGTTTCCACATGCTGCCAAAATTTGAATTTGCCGTGCAGGAAAACGTTAAGCCATTCTCTTTCTACTTACTCATAAAACTAGCTTGTGCTGGGGGCAGGCATTGGATCGGGAACTTACAGAGGGCGCTACTGTTCACCTAAAGGTAATGCAAAGATGTCTACCTGCAAGCTTCTTTCATGCCCAGCGGATCGGTACTGTCCTGAAGGCTGTCGATCAGAATGTAATTTATGAACCCTTTGCATTTGTGAATGATCTCCAAGATGATATCTCTGCTACATTCTGCTGAGAAAATAAGGAATTAGTGCATGGCAAGAAATGATAGTGCTAGTATGGGTACCTTTTATGTCTATCATGTTGCAGAGACTCATGAACTTGGAGACTATGTCTTTTGTGAGGTAGATAATTTCTGGAGAGCGCATTGCTTGCTCATTTTTACGACATGCAAGGCTAGTGCGAGTGCTGAGGCATAGTTTGTAATCCTCCAAGAAGCTGTAAAAAATTGAAGGTACAGTCAACACCTGCTCATCTGGAATCATTTTATTTGCCCCCTTTTGTCCAGTGTAAATGTTTGCATTAAAATGTATTAAACAGTGTATTTAAATTCCTATTTGGTATGCCTCAGAAAATACACTTATGCAGTTTCTGTTGAATTGAATAGCATATACCTATGCAACAAACATTCTTTATCCAGCAGCTGTAGTTGTTTAAAAAGCTTCCCAATACCAAGGAAAGTGCTGGGCATATGAAAGCAACTTATACCAGAAAAGCTAACAAACTTCATACTTACGTGCAAAAGTAGTCTGTGTCAAGTCCAGTGACAGAAATGTCGAATTCTTTGTTAAGGAGTCCGACACACTTGGTTAGGTTTTGTTTCAGTTCTTCTGTGTGACAATATTCACCTAGAAAGTAAAAATTATGCTGCTTGGAACACAGTAGATCACACTCAAATGACCTATGACGAAAGGTAGGCGTACAAATTGTGGATTTTGAGTTTGGAGCGAATAGTAGTTCTACCGGAATATTTTCTAATCGAACATCAGATAGTTGCTCCAAGCCTTTCGCTACTGCACCATGCTTAAATATAAGCCCAGTTCAACTCAGGAAATTTGTTGCCAAGCTTCTACTGGTACATTTCTAAGCAAAGTTAATTTTAATCTAACTATGCATTTATGGACTGTGGCCTTGGAAAGTCCAATGCCTATATTGGGATGACAAATAAACAACACGTTTGTCTTAAAATTAAACCTTTACAGATGCCCAGCTATATCTAATCGAAGAGATTTATAAATCATCTTGCTATGTGCAGGTAAATTTTCTTCCATTTCGAATTAAAAAAAAAAAGACAATAATTAATGATAAATGCAGGTTATCAGGGCATCTCTTGCCTAACATACTTTTGCATAATAGCCAAAGTTCAATTTTGAAAGTTTTACTGCGATGTAGATATCAAAATTCAGTTTCCGTTTCTTTTTAAATACACCGCGTGCATGTGCACCATCCCACTTTGAAAGTGTGCTTTTCTCTTAAGCACTCGACTGTAATCGTTGTACTTTTCGAACCATTGATCGCGGCAGGTTAGCCCCGTTGAGTGTGCTTCTTACCGAACAGTGACGCACTGCGGAGAAGTGTCACATGCGGAGCTCGCTTCCGCGGGTGTTGTTTCTCCGCAATGCATCACTGCTCGGTCGGAAGAGCACATAACGGAGCTAAAACGCCGCAATCAACACTTGCAAAAATATGAATATCGCAGTCCATCTCAAAGCGAATTTGCATAGCACATTATTCAATACTGTTATTAGAAAATTTCAATATTCACACAGTCCTAATAAAAGCAACTTACCTGTAGTGGTGGCATTACAAACCCAGTCATACAGGTTGTAATAGTTTCTGAGATACTTGGTTATGTCATTGCTCATTGGGATAATTTTTTCTTGACAAACTGTATTTAGCCTTGAAAAAATGCACCTTTTGTACTCCTTAACACCTCTGAAATATGTTTATCAGAGTTAGTTTGGACCTTGTCTTGTTGCCTAAAATAGCTGTTTTCATTTGAAACTAGGTTTTCATTGACTTGCCTGCAAGCAATTTCCAGCTTAACATCATCATTAGGGTCATCAGAAAATGGAACTACTCTGTAGTCAATGATGCCTCCACACTCCATAAATGCTATAAGCAGGTCAGGCTTGTTGCACATGGCTTCACTGACTGCAAGAAAGCAGTCAAAATTCTCACTTCAGATAACCATCTAAGTAAATACAAATTCCATTGTGATGCAGATGGAGTGATAATCCCTAAACAAAAACCACACCTGCATTCAGATCTTGTGAGCAAATTGTCTTGTATACATCCAGAGCATTAGACAGGTATGAATGTACACTGGGATGTGTTGATGCAACCTCCATCTTTTCACACAGTGGAATTACCTTTTGCTTGACACAGTTGCCAAATATCTCAATAGAACTGCATCCAAAAGAAAGTAATTATTGGATCAGAATTTGGCCGAAACATAATTGAGCTCGGACTATTTACCTGCAGGCTTGAATTAAGTCACTGTTGTCAGTATGTTTCAGTAGCGGATCCACATCTAGATCCCAAATGCCATCACATTCCCGCAAAGCAGATGTAAGACTATTATCTGAGCAGTTATCTGCAAGGATATGTGCATGTCAACATTTGATATCTGATTAAACTTGTTAGGTCTTACTTGTGCTTATGAAGTGAGAGTACTTTCTGACAATTTGTACAGGTACTGCTAAGGAAGTCTGGACATCAAGGGACAAATCTATACTGCCACAGGCTAGTTTAGTCATCTCTTGAATGCAGCTTTTGTAATCATCTAAGTATCTGCATGAAACATGAGATATGGTTTAAGTGCAAGAAAACTTAACAGAAGTCTTAAAAGTATGGCACCTTTGTACAGCTGGCAGATCCAACTCAGTTGTGTCAGATCCCAAGTTAGGAATCACTCCATTGCTGACAAAGCCTAGGCACTGTTCATACTTTCCAGGGAGCAGCTTGGTGGTACACTCATTTTTTCCTGGATAATTATTGCAGTTATAAAATTGCATTTCTTACTTAGTTAATGAGATAAGAGCTACATGGGATGAAAAGACTGAAAACCATATAAAATCTTACCTTTCATTAAAAAGGAACAGTATTTTTTATAACTGCTGTCCAGAAGTTGGGTGTGTCTTCGGATGCGCCCTAGCTTTAGTACCGTCGGCATGAACCTGCATTCTTGCAGTTGATCTTCAATACAAGCGAGGTGGTCAAGGTAGTATCTAAAACAATGGAAGTGCCTAAATAAGCATTGTGATGTGTTCACATATGTATTTTGAATCTGGTTAAAAACTTTACTTGGCAACCTTGTTTTGATACTTTAACTACAATACATATTAGAACTTACTCGCATACATTTTCCAAATTTGACTTGTTCATTGCAGCTGCCTTGGCAGAGTCTGCCAAACTTTTGCACTGTCTCAATCCATTTTCAAGTTTATCAACAGAACAGAGATGACCTAAAATTAGGAGGCTTAATACATAAAGTGTTGTTGAAGAGCACTTTTTCTTTCTTTAATACTTCAATGTACTCATAACTGAAATGTCTTGAAAGTGTTAAGCACAGGCAGCAGCTTACATTTTTTTTTATGATCCAGACTGTCACATGTCCAGTTGTATTTCCCAAATAACCTCATAGTGTAGTATTTCACAATTTGGCTGTCTGGCATTGTGAAGTTTCGGTCATGAAATTGTTCCAGTTTTGCCACAATACACTTTTGGTAGTTCTGGACCCCCCTAAAATATTGTGAACAGTGAATCATTATTCATATGCAGTATTTGAAAAAGTCACTCTTGCATAGGTATATATCGAAAAGGCTTGTTAGCTACTGGCTTTCAATGCATTCTGTACAGAAAATTAAAGTTGCAGAACTTTTCAGTGTGTGATGTGATTCTTTTTAAAGCATTTTGAACATAATTTGCAAGCACTGGTTGGGTTATCAGAAATTTGAAGTAAAAAAGTATTGCCTGATTACCACCCATGGTGCGTTAAGATTGAAGATGCATCTAGGTAGATCACAGGTACACAAAGTGGGGCTTGCTACATTTTCAGACACCAAGTTTTTCACAGACCTTTGGGTTGTGGGAGGTGTACAGCAGCTAGTCATTAGTGAGTGTTCCTCAGGAACAAACATTGAAAACTGAACACTGTACATTTAATTATTTCATACTCTAAACAATCCAATACATCACAAGTTGCATGCGGATGGCTCACTTCAAACATCTGCCCTTATAGTATAGTATGCTTTTTCTAATGGCTGAGAGCAAGTAGGAGTCGATGGCAAACATAAACCTGGAGGCCATCTCTCATGTCCATCAAGCTATTTACATTCCTCTTTAATAAACAGTCATTTTTATGGAGATGTTGGCACTGTCTTTGCAGTGCCAGCTACTCCATTCAGCTATTTGTCAGTACAACAATTATCAGAAATTGCTGGTGCAAAAGTAATGACAGCAAAAAGATATATTGATATTGATGGGAGCATGTCTACACTGTCAATCCAGGTACTCTGCATTCATTGTTTTTTTGTGTGTTGAAATCATTAAGTAAATGTTTATTTTTTAAGCATACATACAGTACTCTGTGCAGCAAGACCAAAGTGTTTTATTTGCTGATATTTGAGGGAGAGAGAGGGGGCTACCAGGCCAAAGCTTGTGTAACTTCTGGGTAGGGTCATGGTCTAAAGACTGTACTTGCCTCTGGTCTACACTACAAAACAGTATTATAGTTTACACATCCATATGTTTCAACAAAAGATTACGTAAGTGGCAGAAGTGGCTGTTCAGAGAAAACTCGTCATTACTAGTGACTATTGCTAAAGTAAACATTCGTGGTGCAAAGGAGTACCACGGCTTTAAAACTTACAGGCAAGCTTCCCTCATAGAGTTCCCCTTGAAGTGATGATACAGGGCACGTTCAACACTGAACAGAATAAAACCATGGCATTCTCCTAACTGTTTTACAACTTCAGTTTCATTAACAAGTTCGCTTATTCTTCCTGTAAAATGAAACAAAGCCTGTAGTTACGGCAGTTCTGAAGGCTTGAAGCAAAGCCAAAGAGCACAAGTGAGCACTGTAGACCAGAGTGTCAAACCTGAACCGAACCGAAAACTGGAACCGAACCATTATTTTTAGCTGAACCAGAACTGAACTGAACTGAAATATTGGCAGCCACCTTGGAACTGAACTGGAAAAAAATATAACGGTAACTTGTTTTAAGTGATTCACGGCAATTTTTTTTGTATTACAAAATGAATGTTCGAAGAAAAAAAATTGGCAGCTGTATTTATATGTAGTAATCAAATTGTCATATGCCGAATTGCAATGTATGAAAAATTGTGGGTTTTTGTGGCGCTCTTATAGTCGAGACCGGCTATAACGAAGTCATTGGGAATTGGAAATCACTTCGCTATATCCGCTATTTCGTTATAACCGACTTCGGTTAACGAAGTGCAAAAAGGAATGGGAAATTGTGATCGCTTCACTGTAGCAGCTTTATCATAACCGACTTCGTTATAACCGGTCTCGACAGTATTGGCACTATGATTAATCATGTGTCACGTGGTCACGGGACGTCATGGTGTCAAGACATGCTGTCAAGTAATGTCGCATCACGTTGCCTCGTGACATAGTCACGTGACTCACTGCATCATGTCAACTTAAATTGAGAATGTCACTGGATTTCTTAGCGTTGTTGACACCGTGATGTCAGATGGCATCATGACTTCTCACCACGATCCATGTGACACTGTGAGATACTCGATTGTCATGAGCCTGAGTCGAGTGCTCGGTTTCATGACAATCAGCATCGCCAAGCATCTGGGTAATGGCTCGTGTTCAGTCAAAGATGAGAATAGCCAAACTCTTACAAAAGCTACAGCTCAACCCATGCTTTATTTTTTGCCAAACCCCGCGCATGACTATGACGAACACTGACTGTATATATTTAGCATCGGATAACGTGGCCGCTTGTTTTAATATTGAGTTGAGGATGGGAAAGCTGTTACTTTTTTTTTTTTTGCATCTGACATTGAGCGGAGGGGAAAACTAACGAGTGTTTTTGCAAGTTATCAACGTCAGAGATTTGCTTTTAGTGAAAGTACAAAAATAGTTGCACAACCCTGTTTACATGAACACATCATTGAGTCATCCAAACATGTTTTCGATGTTGCTGAACTGTCTCAGAAAGTTGTCCTCAAGAATAGAAGCATTGAAAAGACTAAATGTGACTTATTGATCCGACGATAAATAAAGCTACAATGTGTATGGGATGGATACCTGAAAATTATCCTAGAGGCCTCGGTGGACAGCCAAACATTGGCGGCCACTCTAAATCTCGCAGGAGTGTCATTCTCAAGTTCTTCCCCAAACTTCGACCATCTCCATATTTTGTTAAACTTCACCGTTTTTTGGTGCAAATTAAAAGAAATGGAAGATTGCTGTTAACAGATGACTCTAATATAATCGTCGAATTAACATGCCTAAATGGAGGAGGGAGTCCCTCAGGAATAAATAACTATTCTCTGGGGGAGCATTGAAAAAAGAGGAAAAAAGTGTGTGTGTGGGGAGGGGGGGGGGGGGGGGGGATAAGATATAAAAACATTTTGTTGCAAAGGTTTCTCTGCTCCGCATCTTTGGCACAGACCAGAAAGCGCGGTCCCAGAAACTACTTTGTTTGCACAAACACTGCTGCCAGAAAGCACATTTTCTTGGTACCATGACCAAAAAAGCATGACAATGATAGCAAAATGCACAACAGAGTTAGCTCTGCTTGTTACTTGCAATCTCTGGTTATAACACTACTGATTGCATGATGGAAGCTTACGTGAATGCAGCATACAACTTACCGTGTTCAACATGCTATTAAAAATGGAGATTATGGACTTTTTAATTTTTCCCTATGATTTTCATCATGTAGTCGGACAAGTGTGGTTGCATGTTCTCTAGTTTGTTTTCATTTTGTCGTTTTAGAGCGCAGCCCTTGGGCGCCCGTTTGCGGGTTGAGAGGTGTAGGCGTCGGAAATGATGTAACCGCACGCATTGCATAATGGGATGTTTCCCCGCTAAATTTAGCGGGGAAATATTTCCACTAAATTTAGCTGGTTAAGTTCCCCGCTAAATTTAGCGGGGAAATTGATGTCACGTGACCTCAACACCAATTTAGTTTCCCCGCTACATTTAGTAGGGAAAATGGCGTCATGACTTCGTGTCACATCACCCATGAACAAATTCAGTGGCAGGAGGAGAGGAGCAGGTAAGGAGAAGAGGAGAGGAAGGAAGACGAGGAGAAGAGGGTTTGCAGGAGGAGGGGCTTACCCTCCCCTCTATACCGTCCCCTCCTCCTCCTCAAGAGCTGCACTCTAGTTTCGCATTACAGAGATTTGTAAACGTCTTTCATTTTTTAATTGAAAGTCAAGGCCTGTCTGGTGCTGTGTTTTTTCTTCCTCGTAACCATACCAACTAGGCTAGTTCTCGACTTGCGGTAAGGCACCTTTTGTTATCAGCAGAATCGCAGAATGCCAAGGGAAACGAAACATCTGCGACGTTCGTACGAGGGCATAGGGCGAAACTTACGGTATTGCTCAGTGTTGCTTCACTAGCTCACCAGGTGCCAGCGTTAATCACCCGCCGTCGGGTCGCTAATCCAGCTGGTAGAACATTTTTAATATTGGTCTTAATCGGGATTGCGGCATCGGTTTGATGATTTTGGACCCCCTAAAGCGATATCAGCCATTTCTATAGGGTCGACTTTTTGAGTAGAGTTGCCCTTTAAACAGTTCAGTTTTCTGGTGAAATGCGACGTTCTCAACACTGGCAAAAGTTGATGTCCAGATTGTAAAGTTGAGCAGTATATATAGCAGTCTCACGATGATATGTGGAAGCCTAATAAAATGCTAGGGTGCGCATGACTTGGAAAGCACAGAGTTGTAAAGTGAGGGCCCAAAAACAAGGGCACGTAGAAACCGAATATAATATTAGCCTCCCGAGACAGTATTTTGCTAAGTTTCGAGCTCGTGCAAGCCGATGTCCATATGTGATTTTATTAGAAATATATTGTATGTCCTTTGCGCTATTTATGTGTACTAATTAGGAATATCATTGTATGCGTCTCTATCTATATATTTTTTCAGTAAGGCTTTGTGTATGAGATTATTTAGAAGAATAGCATTTATTTTTTTTCTTTCTGTACATTTCATGTATTTGCCTTCAGATCTATTATGTGAGCACACAGTCCTTTTTTGGCATACCCTAGTACTCGGTGCTTTACACTGCCAATCAGCAAAAAAAAAGCATGTTTCCACAGACTGAACAGCTGACATTTTCGAGTATCGTCCTCCCGTTCTGGTCTCAAGCAGTTATGGGAACTTCATACGGTCAAATCTATTGATGACAATAAAAATATATTTAATTACTGACTGAACATTTGACCACATAAATGAAGGGCTGATCACCTTAAAGATCTACATCACAAGTAATTGCACCCACAAATATCTGAAATCTTCTCTGCAAATCTTTTCCGGCGTTTTTATCCTCAGTAGGCACGTCTATAAATGAGTTGGGAGAGTCTTAAACAAATTTCTGGTTTTGAAGCTGCTTTAAATAAAACTTTGTTAATTCCTAACACATATCTAACTTCTCAAACATATAGCAGTAGTCTGTTATTGCATCTCTTACGTGATGAGCAACAATTTTATGTGTCTGTGGGCAGGACAAAAACAAAGTACACAGGGGCACGTGGCAGAACTATGACGGTTGCGCAAACAGGCCGCCAGAAAGTGACCAATTAAATAGCTGCAATGTATGAAATACTGCTTTGTTCTATTTAACAACAAATCACCAATTATCAAGGGTGATGCCTATGTGCAAATTGAATCGACCGGCATTTTGTCAAGAACAAACTTCAAATGCCAAGTTATGCCGAAAATGTTCACTTCAGTACGCGCTAGTTTAGGCCAGTTTCAATCTGAGTACAAAGGTACATATAGATTAGAGTGAACAATTTGGATCACTCTTTTCTGCATGATTATTCGCCTGCATCGCGGCGCTGAGTGTAAACAATGTTGGTCAGGAAAACAAGCGTTGTGGTTTCCGCTCATTCTTTCTATGAAAGGTAGACTGCAAGGTCTTCTCACAAAACTTTTCTGATATTTTGAAAATAATATTGTTTTTCGCTCAGTTGCATCGTCATGACATATTATGTGAGACGTATTTCGTAAACTAGATTTCACACTACATATGGCGAGGAGGTGTCCATTTCATGATTTTATGTACTTTTATTAATTCCTAAGTTCGAGAGCACGACAGGATTCAACTTTTAATACGCAATGCAAAGTTGTACCAATCACAGGTATTTTAGGCGACCTACCAGACTGATAACCTTTTGATTCAGGTAAGATATATGCAACTGAGGTAAACAAATTGAGGTTGAGTCATATAAACAGGACGTTTTTTATGTTAATCTAGCTTTTCTTTTACTGTTTCGTTGTAATTAAATAACACAATTTCTTATTTTCGGTACCTGAAAATAAAAGTAAATTGTTCGAATGATGAATAGCTATAAAGTTCCTTGTTTCACTGTTGAAATAGTGCCTATTGCCAAAACTTTGCAGAAAATATGTTCTCAATTTATTGGTTTGAACCATTGTTTTTGCTCCCCGGAACTGAACTGTAACTGAACCGATGGCCGTGAACCCGAACCCAAATCGAACCAACCAAAGTTTCGGTTTGACACTCTGGTGTAGACACAGAATTTATGCAAAGTACTTGCCTTCCTGAGACTGATGGAAGCAAGTCCAGTTGAACTTATTGAACATTACAAATGTAAAGTAAGCAACTTCAGGCAGAAGAAAAACTGGTGAATCCATGGCACACTTCAGTCTCATTTTTTCATTGACACAGGCTTGATAGAATTGGATTCCTCTGAAAAAAAATTGTTGATATCTCATGTCAGTAGATAGTGAAAGGATCAATTTATCTTGGGTGCCTTGCCATTATAAATCTACAAGTATAAAATAGTAGTTACAAACCTGCAGGCTTCTCTGAGTTTTGCATTGTCTGACATATTCAGGGCATTTGGAACCACCTTGATGTTTATAATTCCTTTGCATGTGGTCAGTTCATTCAAAAGACTGTTCTTATTGCAGTCTGGGTCTGGAAGTGAGAGTATCAATTGACTTAGTTTGTTTCTATTAACATTGTTGGGAAATAATCTAAGTGCAATTTGGCTATTTAAGGTACTGCTCCTAGAGTTAAAAAATACACCCCTGGCTAATCTTAAAAAAAGTAGATTCAGTAGCTTATAAATATAGACTAGTTTAAATATTACAGTGTATTCTTTTAAAGGAGCTGTGCAATGATTTTAATGTTGGAAGAATTTGCATCATCTACTTTTGACTTTGTTTATATTGTCACAAAGGACAGAAAACACATCTCCTTCCTTCAAAATGTTGCAATTCCGCCGCATAATCGCGAGGCAAAAATTAAAATATTTCCCAACCTGCAGCCGCGAGCGGCTGCCATGAGAACCACGCGGCGTGATGTCAAAGGGGGACTTGTAAAAAGATACCAAGTTGTGCAAATACCTGCTTGATAAATGGTAATTTTTCTATAATTCTTGTCGTCCCAACAAATATAAACGTGTCAAAACCCTGGTATCATCTACAAAACTTGTATTATACGGAGTTTTAGTGTCGCCATCTATCCGAGGTCAACAAAACCGTCAGCTCTATCTACTACCGCGAACAGCCGCCAGAAGCCGGAGGGGGACAGGGACAGAGCCGGACAGGGATGGCCGGCCCTGGACGAGCACGTCAACACTTTCCTCCTTTTGCTACGTTGATCGTGCTGCTCAATCACGTGGTCACGCGCAGATGAGTTCTCACTGCTTTTGATGGCTCTAGAGAGAGAGAGCTTCACCGGAACCCCGTGCGTCCCCCATTGACGTCACAGCGCATGGGACTCTGAAGATGGTGAAGGAGTTGAGAGGTGCCGAAAGTCTCAATCTTTGTCAATTTTTAAAATAAAAACTAGGACATGCAGGCAAAAGTGTTTTTTTCTTCTTTACTTCAGAAAGGGCGAAACACGAACTCCCAAATTATTTAAGCAAAGCACTGAAATTGTTGCACAGCTCCTTTAAGTGTTTTATTGTTCCTATTCTTTGTGGATAAGGATACATTAGCTGAAAAGAAAATAATTATGCTTTTATGGACTCAAATTCTCTATTTTCATATATTTCTTTGCAAATATATGAAAATATTTTGCACTGTATATTATTGCAGCTTTCATTTGTAGAGCATATAAACTTTGGTGAAAACTGCAGTGGAAGGTAGTCTTACGCATATCGCAAGCCCACTGAAATTTTTCATACACAATGTAAGTGTAGTTTTTTACTGCATCAAGCATCAGCACTTGGCCTTGGTTATTTCCACAGTTTGTGTTGACTTCTTCGTTTACACACTCTTGGTATCTGTTAAGAGCTCTGTCATAAGGAAGATAATTTCATGTTATACATAAAAATGCTATATTTATTAAGTGAGCCAGAAATCATCAAAAAGTCTTACAAGCATGCAAGCTGCATTTTAGCTGATGGCCCTCCAATGTCTGCATTTGGAAGGACGTGTTTCTTCACGTGGTCATCATAACACTTCTTGAGCTGGCTCAGTAGCACGTCTGTCTGACAGACTGAAGCTTCTGAACAATTAAAAAAAATTAGCTTTTAGCACAGGACATTCTTGTACTTTACATACTTTACATGGCAAGTCAAACTTTTAAGACGGAATATGTTACAAACTCTGGTTAAAGGCCGACGAGCAACCAGAAAGGAAGAATCTTTCCCTCAATCCTTCTTTTACATTAGAGAAAAAGAGACACCGTCCTATTTTCTGCGGGGAGTAGGTCGGAAACCCTCTCCTGTGGAGAGAGGAGTAGAGAAGAATGCGAGAGGGAGCGGGGAGAAGAAAAATGGGAACCGGTTTTCTTCCCGGTGGAAGACGATTCTGTAGGTTGGCCTTTAAGTGCATGAATAAATAACAAAAATAAGTTGCTGTTTTTTTTCCCATGAAATGCATATTTTTTCATAAAACGCATGCTCGTGCATGGCATGTCGTTACAGGCAGTGTGCGCTCTGATACACGAGTTTTACAACACACTTGCCAGGAAACAAGTGTTATCAGATTTCTTTTTATTTTCTTTTACGTGCACAAGGGGCATTCACAATATTCTTCAGCCAAGCTTGAAATTTATAGGGAGTTTCAGATGGGTATCTAGATAGATGAATGTGGTTATACTCCGTTTCACTTTCAGATGTACCGCAGCAAAGGCTACAAGTGCAAGCTTCTTGCTTAAGGACACTGACACCCCCCAAAATTTTTGTTTGATTTTTTGCAGGCGATAGATACATTATGGTGTCAAAGGACTACCTAATCAATAATCTTGCTACTGCCTCACATATATTTTTAATAAAGTAAAAAAATTCAACTGCCCGAAACGGAAACTGGACTGGGGAGGAAGAAGAAATATAGAGGAGATAGTTGGCGGAAGTCACGTGGCCGTGCAACTTTTTTTTATCTTCAGTCAACATATTTACGGCTTCTAGAAAACACAAAAAAATAGTCTCACATTTCATTTTTATGTTTAATATTTAGTGTATGCCTGCAATGGACCCACAACATTCACTCTAGTTGATGGTTGTGTCTAAACCAAAGAAAACGGCACGTGACTACGGAGAGGAGAGTCAGCGCGACTCAAACTGGCCAGTTCTCGATCGGCGGTTTTTGGATGGAAAGAAAACAAATTTCAAGCTGCAAATTGTGTTCTGGGTACTTGGGCTCTCATACTATTTCATGTACAAATTAAAACCTTGGCAAGCATAAATACCCTGTCAGTGTCCCTTTAAGGATGCATCTCACTTGCACAAACTCATGCAACTAGAGCTACTGCCAAAGCTGTGACCTCGAGCTTCTAGCCCTTGCTGTGGTACATTCTTAAGGGTTAGTGCAACAATTTTAACATTGAGGAAATTTTCAGCTTGTATTTCTGATATTGTTCATCTAGACACAGGTGAGAAAAAACTCGCCACCTTCCCTCGAAATCCTGCAATACTGCGTAATTGCAAAAAAAAAAAAAAAAGAAGTGTTATCTGTCTATCTGTACCTACGTGTGGCAGTTATGGGTAATGGTGTCCCATCATTGGGGGTACACGGAAGTCAACAAAACCAATCCCTTTCTGCTGCTACACTTGCCGTCAACCCCGTGGAAAACCCATCTTTAGTCTCGATCGCTTACATCGACCTTCGGCAATGCTAATCCTCGAGAAGTCAACAATCGCAGATGGAGTGGCTGGGGGCTCTGAAGACAGAACCCAACGAGAAGCCAGATGTTACTCCCAGTGACCTCACCCAAAAGATGGCTTGAGAATTGAGGGGTATCATGACCTTTGATTTGTTCCATTTTTAAAAATAAAAACTAGCACGCGCAAGAAAACAATTTTTTCTGTTCTTCGTTCTATAGATGAGAAAGATTCATTCCTGCAGTTAATTGGGCAAAGTCCGAAAATCGTTGCACCGCCCCTTTGAGGTGTAACGGAGTATAGATTTTGTAAAGTTTAATTAAGCAAAGTGCACTTATATTGTAAGGATTACACAGATGTACGGCCTGCTCAGGTTACACATGTGCACAGCCTACAAGACTACTCATTTGCAGGCTGTCAAATCTTGGAATTCTTGGAATATCTGGTCAGCATGCATTCAACTGAAAGGAAGCCGAGAACCTTACTGCCATGGTGGATTGCATCACAAGTCCACTTATAGCTTTGCACTAGGTCATGAGTGAAGTACTGCACCCGTGGCAGCTTTAAGACATATGGACGGCGTGCACATTTCCCATAGACGGATAAAAGTGCACAATATTTGAACTCTTGATAGCCTCTGAAAAGGAAAGGCTTTGTGTTTATGCCTAATCTTATTTTGATGTATTTAGTTGTGTTAGATAAAATGCTTGTTAGGTGTAATTCAGTAGAAAGTTTTAATAAATTTGAGCAAACTTACGAGCATGCAGTTTCTAGTGATGCATTTTTGCTTGAATTTTGGACGTAAGGAATCACAAGAACATTCAGAAATCCTAAGCACTCTGTTAGGGAATCCAAAACTTCACTGCCATCACAGTTGTCTGTTACAGGCAAATAGTATTTATTAGTGGTGCAAGCACTAACCTAAGAATCATCTATTTGACTGTTTGTGTAAGTTTTCTTCTAGCTCACCTCCATGTTCGGGTTGACATGTCCAGTTGTACATATTGTACAAGTCCCGTGTGTAGTGCAAGACATGTGGGGTCTGGGGCAGGAGTTTGTTGCCACACTTGACATTAACTTGTGAATTTATGCAACTGTGATAGGCTGAAACTCCCCTGGTAGTGAATAACAGAATTTGGGAGAGCTCTTACTAGCTTGTTACAATCAGCTGGATCTTTACAGTACTATTTATAAATATTTGTTAATTGTGCTTAGCCTGGAATACCAAAAGCTGAGGGGAGCTACTAAAACAAATGTTTTATGTATGAAAGGCTTAAATGTCCCACGCTTCGTTTCACAGGTATTTTGTGTTTTGTCACTTACGCTATGGGAAGCTGGTACGTCTGTCCTTGATATAAGATAGGACCCTTGATGAAAAAGAAATTGGCTCACATGCATGCTTTGTCCAGCTTCAAGCTATTAGCCTCCTCTGGGTTCAGACCTTGAATTGTATGATTCAGTTCTTTAGAACAATTTTCCAAATGGCCTAAAACCAAGAGTGGGTTGCAAACAGCTGGAATCAAAAAGACAACTTTTTCAATGTCAACACAGTGTTTTACAACAAACCCCCCTCTGACCTTTTGGGGCAACAGGCTGACAGGTCCATTCATACTTTCGGTACAGCTCGCCAGTGTAATATTTTATCATCAGAGACTCCAGGACTTGACTGTTCTCACATGTTTCAATCTTCTGATTGACACAATGTTGATAGTGCTTCATAGACCTTTGAGAGGAATATTAATTCTTGTCACAGTGACATCTCAGGAATGTCAAGCTCAGTTATATTAAACTTGTACACAGTAGGCTTACCATCAGTGTTAGATGCCTAACAGTGCACCATTATACAAAGCTTGGAGGCAATGCTACTAATCATAAATATCATAAAGGAATGTCAGCTTTGTTGCTACAAATATGAGAGCATCCTGCATGTGCAGTGCTTATGTACCTTGATCTTTCTTGCATCATTTTGTGAAACATTACGTAAGAGTGTCTTTTGCTTGCTTTCCTTCTTTTGTCTGCTTACATCTAGCTTGTGTCATCTCCCCTTTGCAAAAACCAATCATTCTATCCCAAAGATGCTTCCACTGAGAAGGGGAGACACGCTTGAATTAGCATGCTTTTCCCAAGGCACATTCTCTGGATGGAGCCCAAAGATGCTTCCACTGAGAGGTAGCTCAGTGCTTGTGCATAGGGTGTTCCAAGTCACCAGACTCAATCTAAAATGGACCGTAAAAATCGACGCCTGCACATAGCAATCTAAACTTTTCGTCAAAAGTGTATTTCACAGGTCGTTTTTTGTTTTGTTGTAAAATTACAAAGCGTAGCTCCCTTTCTGTAAAACACAGGCCTAAAAAACTTGCCACGGTCAACGGCGACGTAGATGACCGAGTCGAGTAGTGGGATGTGTTTGGCGTTCATATTGATAGATGGCATTGGGAGCAGTGTCCGAAGGTGCAGCCGACCAGCAAAAGAAAGCAGACGACATGCAGACGAAATCCGTTGGCAGCAAAAGCCTCGTCGTTATGCAGATGCGGTGTTTTTTTACTTAAGTTTTACTTTTATTGTCTACATTTATTTTTTAACCAAAGATACATTTCAAAAAGATTATGTTCATTTTAATAAACCACGGTGGTCATGAGCAGTCTCAAGAAGGAGGTAGCGCCATCTATCATTATGCTGGAGCAAATTAAATGAACATCTAGCAAGATTTTTTTCGAAGCATGCTCTAACTTCTACCAGAGTAATAGAATACTCATAAATTAATAAAACTTACCTGCAAGCAACTTTTAGCATTTCAGGGTTACCCCTGGCAACAGTGTTGGGTATGACTTTCATATGTATAAATCCCATGCACTCCATAAGGGCTTTTAAAGCTGATTTCTCTGAGCACAATGGTGTTTTTAGGGGTGCCACTGTGGTAAGATTTTTTGAGACTGCTATTGTGGTTTTTTTTTTCCCTTGAAAAAGAACACAACCAGTGGATAAGACAATGTTTATCAGCCAGCAAACAGGAACTCACTTTTGTAGCAGGTAGAGTTGAACTTGGTAAAGAGCCCCTGAGTAAGATCATCCATATTCTCATTGCTGTAGATATTTACGTTTGGGCACACTTTGCGAGCTGACTTCGTTACACATTTCTGGTAATCGATTGTGGCCCTGCAGTATAAAGAGAAATGACAAGGACTGAGTGAAAAAACTGTTTTAGCTCTGGCAAAAAATGTTTCAGTTCTACTTGCATGCAAGCCAACTTTTCTTGACTCTCATCATCAGGATTTTCAGTGCTTGGAAATACCAGCCAGCGAATGATACCTTTGCAGCGCCTCAAATTTTCTGCAAGTTCCTCATCATTGCATGCTGGGACTGGAGAAAGGAGTTGCAAACCATAGTGCACCAAGTCAGTCCTATGACTACAAGTAAGAATGAGTATATTATTTTAAGTACCAGTATCAGCCTTGTGACTGCATACAGAAGCATGCTTGTGCAATACTTTGTTGATGTAAAAGTCCACTTTGACACTCTTGATCAGACCATTGGCACTTGCACCACATGCCTCCATCACACCAGCATACACACAAGTCCTGTAATCTTGAAGACCCCTGAAAAAGAATGCAGATGCCATAAGCACACATTCTGAGAAGCTCTATAAAGGAGAAAAGTAATGGTATTCTGGAGTGGAAAACAAAGCCTTAATAATGCCGCTTACAAGCAAGATTCAGGCATTGAGAATGATAAAGCACTGTTTGGCTTGACAACAAAATCAATAAATCCCCGGCATTCCCTCAGCTTCGAGGTCAGTGTATCAATGTTGCAACCTGAAAGTAAATCAGTCAATGTTGTATCTTCTAATTGCATTTATTCAACATGTTGGAAAGTTGATCTTCAGTTTTTGGCAATTATCACAGCATATACACAGGTGACGTATTGTCTGATTACGGATTCCACTGACTTTTTTGGCCAGTTGTAGCACAAGCCCAAGAATATCGGTTGTGATACTCTACAAGGTATTTTAGAACATCAGAGTTGTGTGTAAATACAATTCCATCTCCACAAAGTTCTTTTATGGATCGCATCATGCAGGTGTCGTAGTTCCTCAAATGCCTGGAATAAAATATGTTTTGTGTTGAGGGCTTTAATATTCAGAAAAAGAGATGACTGGGAAAACACTGCTACAAACCTGCACGTCTGGTTAACTTCGTCTGCAGGGTGAAAAACTGACATATCTTTTGGCACCAGGGCATCTAGGATTCCAGTGCACTCCTCTAAGTTGTTCTCTATTTTGGCATTGCACTGTGGCCCTAGAAGGATAGAACAATCATTTCAACTAAATACCTACAAATGGCATAGCTGCAAAAAGTACTAATCATGGAACATGCATAGAAGGAGGTTGTAAAACTCTGGAAGGAGGAGTGAAATTGCAAGATGTCTACTAGCAAGAGTGTGTGTTCAAGAAAAAATGTAAAAAGTCCAGTGGGAAAGCAGGAATCTGAAGTACAGGTATAAAAGGTGAGTAAAAAAAAAAAAGCAGCAATGTGTGAAGAGCATGATAGCTCTTTTTTATGTTATGATGTTCGAAAAGAAGGCAAGAAGTTAAGGTTAAACAACATCTAATATGGAATGGAGGTTCCAGAACTTCCAAATTTTTAAGTACATTGCAAAAGAAAGAGTTCTGTGCAAAACATAATTCTTGGCCTTTAAAATATCTTTCTACTAGTTTGAACCTCCAACTGTATTATGGTGTCAGATGATGTAATGTTGACTTTGACCATGATGCACAGGTATACCAGAGTGCATAATGGTCGAAGTCATACAAGTGCATCATGGCCAGATCACTTTTCCACTGGTGTACTGGTGTACCAAATCATCTTTGTTTGCCACTTTGGTTAGCAACATAGCATGTGCCATATGCACAAATAGTGAAATGGCTTTTGCAAGCCCTCCATTGGAGCGGTGAATATTTTGAGATTAAGAAGCAATTCATACATAATTATATTGTTTATACAGAAGGTCCATATACCATTTGACTCTCGAGTGCAAAATATTAGTTCCACAAAACATTTAAAAGCCGATACTGGGGAAAATTAGTGAAATTTTTTGTATGCTGTTAAATTTTCATATGCTTATCCTATAGAATTACCAGGGCCGTAAAATAGCCGATCATCAACAAAAAGAGTTACTGGGAATATTAGCAAGAACAGTTTAGCTAACCGGATGTGACTCCAAATTTGCAGGTCCATCTGTAGTTCTCATAAATGTCGATATAAGGCTTTAGCTCTGCCGATTGCAAGACGGTGTCGTCATTGAGACAAGAGGATGGGATTTTCGAGTTGATGCAGTGCTTGAATAAATTATTGTTCCTGGAAAATGTAAGTTAAGTAATCTTTTGTAGCCACCAGAATCTTAGACTGGTAAATGTGGGAGAAGAACATAAATATGCAGACTGACTTGCAGGCAGTTTTTACAAAGGCAATTAAAGTCTTTTCTGTTATAAACGGCTGAACTCTGATTTTGACAATGCCGAGACATTCACTGAAGCGTTCCTCCAGTGTTTTCATGTTGCATCTTGGTGACGGTTTCTCAAGTGATTTAACTGAAAGGAATGAACACAGTTTGCTCATGATACATATGATACATAAACATGACACATATGAGCAACACAGATTAAAATTTAAAGCACATCATGCTTACCACCATCACATGTCCAGTTGTATGCACTGTAGAGGCCATCTGTGATGTTGTTCAGGTTGGATACTTCATAGAAGCTTTCTTCATAGCATATTGATAGGGATTCTCTGATGACACACTCCTGATACTTATGTACTCCACTGAAAAGCAGGAAAATAAATGTTTATAGGATGTACCAGGACATTTTGATTTTATGTCAAGCTTGACTTGTGTTAATAAACCATGTTATAACAAAAACAAGTTAAAATTCCCAACTCTGGGAAGAGCCAACAGGAGTTGCAACCAGAAACCTACCTGCATGCTGCAGCAAGAAGTTCTTCTGAATACTCATCAATGAGTGGAATGACATGAGAAGTAATTTGAGCAGAGCATTTTTCAATGATTGGACCGAATATCCCTGGCATGCAATTTGTAACTAGACATAAAGATGGAAAATTTGTTGTTCAGGTGTCAAGAAGGGCACGAGTTCAAAGCTTACTGTTGTCAGAGCACGTCCAGTTGTACTTGTTGAACAGGTTTTTGGTTATTTTATTCAGAAATTTTAGGTCAAACTCAATTTCTGGACACAAATTATTGCCATGGTAAATTATGCAGTCTTGATATTTCTTATTTCCTCTGAAAAAAGAAATATTAGGCATGTGATTTGTTAGTTCCTGCTCTTATAACAGAGTAGTCAAGTTTACTCACTGGCAAGCTATCTTCATTGCTTTTTTATTGGTATGGTTTGAAGAATAAGGCAGAACTGAAGAGTAAATGTGATCTTTACAGCTTTCAAATACTTCTTCCATCTTTTCTGAGGTACATGTAACTTCTGGATGGATAGAATAAGTAGGCAATTTTGTACACCTTGAAGGTGTGTAAATACAAATAATGTAAAAGGAAGAAACCTTTACTTACTTTCAGGTTGGCAAACCCAGCTGTATTTGCTATACATCCCTGACGTTATGTTTTTCAGCCATTCTTGACTTAGAACAGCGTTAACCGGACAGAGATCAAATGCTGTTTTAGCAACACAGTCCTGGTATTTTTTTACATACCTAGAACAGTTTTAATTTTATTTCATTGCTATGCACACCTGAGCAGGTGTGCTGATTTAAGAATGCATTTTTATGTGTCATACCAGTCTTCTGTTATATATCTCTAGTTTACACAGTGATGTGCTGAATAAAATACCCACCATACTATCAAAACATAAGAAATATTAGTATGAAATTGCGACATACACACAAGCAATGTCAATGATGTCCTTTGATGAGGGAAGTACTAAACTTGGAATCACTTTCAGTTCCAGAATTTGTTGGCATCTGCCATGTTCCAGCTCGAAGTTTTCTGGTGTGCAGTTGAACACTGAAAAGGTTGAGTGTGCATGGGACCTTGCAGTAAATGAGAAGCCACAGTGCCAACCTAAGAACGGCAGTCATACTTACAGTTAACATTGCAAACCCAGTTGTATTTATTAAAATTGCCATGGGTGATGTCAGCAAGGACATTTGCGTCGTCTATGTCGTCATTGGGACAAATTCTTTTTCCTTCGTTAACTATGCAGCTCTGGTAATGTCTGAATTGCTTGCAGGCTTGTCTTAGCTTCATCTCGTAGACTGGTGCTTGTACAATGGGCAAAACGGCACCTTCTAAAATAAAGCTACATTTAGTAACAATAGCTTTCATGCTCTCTGGTGTACAGTTGGTTGCTGAAAATAACAATACTTCACTAGTCATTACACTCCGAGTAAAAATAATTTGGAAAATAAAATTGAGGCATTACTACATCTAAAGTTATAAAGAGGTATTTTTGTATAACTCACATTGCATGGAGCATGTCCAGTTGTACCTCGTTTCAACTTCGCTGGTTAAGTTGGAGGTTGAAATTCTGCCTAGGCTTACATCTACTGGACAATGAGCAGTCATTGTGACATTCATGCACTCGACATACTCCTTGAGACCCCTGTGGAATGGCGTAGCAGACCATTGTACTATAATTACCTAGCTCTTGGAGAAAATTGAAGTTTATCAGATAAAGCTATATTTTCTGTGAAATATGGCTTTATGGATTTATGACTGGAAAAGCAATTATAGCAAACCACTGTTCATTTAGGGATATTTTATTCATTATGCAATATTATTAATAATGCAATATTTAATCCAACACAAAAGAGGGCAGTTGATTTTCAAGGAGGCATGCTAATAAAGCAAGATTTTACAATTAGAGATTAGAGACCACCGGTCCCTAACAAAGTCACATGTTGAAATGCCAAGACTTACTTGCATGAAGATTGAAGTTGTGAGCGATTGTGGATGTTAATGTTCTGCAGTATTTTGTTGCTTATAATGTCAGAACAGCTGTCAAATGCAGATCTGGTTTCTTGAGATGTACAGAGCTTTCCTGTTCAAATTCAAAGCCATAAGAACATGAATAAAGGTGCACCCTAATTGATTCAGATTTAGGAAACAAACCTTCTTTCAAGCATGTCCAGCTGTACTTGTTAAACAAGCCATTAGTAAGTTTTGCTGTGGTTTCTTTATCTCTGAAGTTAGTGTGTGGGCACACTTGAGATCCTGATTCCAAGATGCAGTTCTGAAACTCCTTGTTGCCCCTTAAAATCAAGGTAGTTTATTTAAAAGATTAGTGTGCGAAAGAACAAATCTTTTTAAATTAAAATATCCGAGTTGTACTTGCTCACACTTCGCAGTGTAATTTTAACTTTGCTTGTTTTACGTTTTTGTTGTGGTTCTACCATTATCTAGGAACTAACAGCATCGCTTACTCATTAAACATAATAGATTATTTAGTCATCATCCTTTATAATGGCAAATTTGACCTACTATAAGCTACAATAATTTGTGAATTTGCCCAAAGGTCGAGTTTTGAAATTTCAGGAATAAAATTTGGCAGTGGGCCAGCAGGTCTCGGTTCAAGGATTAGGTAGTATCCCTATGTTTTCGATTTGTAAATTTTGCACAAATTAAGTCATCCTAAATATGGTGACTTAATACTGCAAAGTATTTTGCAGTATTAAAGATGGCAATACTGAAATGCCAAAGAGTGTATTACCTGCATGCAACTTTGAGTTTCTCCACATCCTCTGGCATTTCCACATTTGGTATTATAAACTTTGTGATTATGCTCATGCAGTTTGACAAAATTTTTCCAAAAGCAGTTATATTACAGGATTTTGCTGAAAAATATAAATGATTCCTGTTGGTCGTTTTGATTAAAAAAACAGTTGCACAGTTCAGACAATTTTGGAATGATGGCAGACTTCTTACGTGTGAAGGTGCAGAGCCACTCATACTTGGTGTACATGCCAGATGTGAGCTCATTGAGGTTTGGAACTGCAGCTGCAGTTTTTAGTGGACACAAGGCCTTACTCCCTTGCAAAATGCAAATTTGATATTCCCGTACATGCCTGAATGGGACCAAATGAATGACATGATTACCTTGCTTGCTGCCACTTGTACTGAGTTTCAATGATCACATTAAAGCAAATTATGGGACTGATTTTTGCATAAAAGTATGTCAGTTTTTGTAATGGATGTAGCCTTACTTGCACAATATTTCAGCCACTTGGATGTTAGAGACTCGGTCTAAATGGGGTATGACCTCTGTTTCAAGGGTCTTGGTACATTCATGAATGTTTGTTTCCAAGTTTGCGTTCGTGCAATTGTCAGCTGGAAAAGGGATTGAACAGTAGTTGTTTAAACATAAGCATGATAATACTAACCATGTATGTGGGATGAAAACTGACTTACAACCGATGATGCAAGTCCAATTATAAGATTCAACTTTTTGGAGTGCATTCTGAAGGGCTTTGACATCAGTCAATGTTTGATTTGGACAGAAACTCCTCTGTACTTCCACAACACAGTCTTCATACTTATATAAACCTCTATAAAAAAATCAGCATCTTTATCATATGCTGGTGTTCTACTATTGTATTTCTGATTTGCAGACTGGATAATGCTTACTTGCAAGCCTTGTCCAGCTTTGCGTCATCAGAACCGTTAAGAGCATAAGGCTTCACCCATGAGGTAAGAATGTGCTCACATTTTTTTAATGCAAATGTCAGTGTGTGATTAGTGCAGCCTGTATATGTAGAAAACATATATGCAGATATTCATTTTAACAGCAAAGTTGAGAGAATAGCAAATGGAGTTATACCTTCATAACTGCAGGTCCAGTTGTAAGTGTCAAATATTTCATGTGTCATTTCTGACAAGTTACCAAATGAATAAATGCCTTTGATAGGACAGACATTTTTCATGTCTTCAACACATTGCTGGTAACTGTGTACACCTCTGCAGAAAAGAAAATGGCCCATAGTTTTCTGGCATACTTTTATAGTTACCATTATGAGACATCATAGCTTTAGAAATCCAACCATCATAAAATTTCTTGAATGAATACAACCTACTTGCAAGCCTGCCGTAGTTTATACAGCTCCAGAGGTTCTTTGATGTTTGGGGAGACCACTGTTGTTATCAACGTAGAACAGTTCTCTAGGTACTCTTCCTTACACACTTTTGCTGTAAATATTGGAAGTGCAAGATCAGATACATTTATTATTTCCGAGTTGACTTCCATACCTTGCATGCTGCACGTCCAACTGTAATTTGAGAAGGAACCATTTGTGACCGTGTTAAGTAGCTTAGTGTCATTCATACTGTCTTTGCAAGATTGAAATCCTTCCTGGAGAACACATGTCTGAAAGTCTTGAACTCCCCTGCAAGCCGTTTTCAACTGCATCCAGGTTGCCCCAGTTTTTGCATATGGAATTACGAGGTTAGCCATAATCTCGTTGCAGCCAGTGACGTGGGCCATAATAAAGTCCTCCATACAAGAAACAGCTGAAAAAGATGCAGTTTTGTTTTAACATGGTAACGTTGTAAGATAAACTTGAGAATGTTAAACTGGTTTTCTACCTTTGATTTCACATGTCCAGTTATACATGCTGAACTTATTGTGTGTGAGCTCATTTAGAGATGCATTAGCCAGGGTTTCATTGCCTGTACACACCGCTTTATGACTGTGGAGAAGGCACTCTTGGTATTTTTTGGTATGCCTAGAAATTTCAGAATTAATTTGTTGTGCTGTCATGCATGAATTGTAAACAATAAAACCTACATGCAGGCTATCTTGAGTTGGCCTGACTCCGAGACTTTTTGGATATTGGGTACCACATAGGTATCAACTATTTTATGGCATTCTTGAAACCTTTGCTGAAGTTCTTTCATGTTACATTGAGGTTCTGTTCTCAACAAAAAATAGGCTGCTTAGTAAAACTCAACCTTGATTTTCCATTTACTATAAACTACACACATACCGTGCAGGTCACATGTCCAATTGTACATGCCAAACATGCCATCTGTAAATGTCTCAAGGAGCCTGTCGTTTATTTTGTACTCTTCAGCACAAATTGTCTGAGTTTTTTGGATGATACAACTTTGATATTCCTGCACAGCCCTGAAAGAGAAAAACAACATTAGAAGTGGTTTCGAGAGAAATTGGCATAGCGACAGTCGCCTGTGACACTGAATTCATGAGAGCCAGGTGTTTCAACCAACTTGCAAGCTAGCTTCAAGTTTGCTCGATTGGAAATAGGAGAGCCCTTAGTGTTTGGGATGATAACTTTTGTGACATAGGTTTCAAAGCAATATTTTGTTTGCTCGAAAAAAAGTTCCTTTTTGCAGGATGCATCTGAAAATGACATCCAGCAAAAGCGTTATAAAAGGAAGCCTAATATAAATTATCTTTGAATAAAAACTGGCTGTTCATTATCAAATTTACCCCTTACCCCTCACTGCATCGCAGGTCCAATTGTAGGCACTGAAATACTGTGCTGCCGATGCTGTTATTGCATCAGAAATTGAGCTTCCTTCATCGGAACACATCAACAAACCTTGATGAGATATGCACTGTTGATAGTATCGAAGATACCTGTAATTTGTCAAAAGAAAACGGTCTTAGTTCACATATACAGCTGTAGGCAACATATACTGAATAAAATTGAGGTGCTATGAGGTGCTCAGTCCTTATAAGCTACCGTCAAAATAAGAGAAGTCTACAGCTCTCACTTGCATGCAAGCTTCAGGTTTGGCAAAGCAGACTTGTTTGCAGAGAGGGGGATGACAATGGTCGAAATGATGCTCTGGCATTCTTGCATCATTTTTGTAACAGCTGGTCTTGTGCATGTTTTCACTGCAACCCAAGTATGTTGGTTATCAGGTGTTTCTGTGGGGTTACTCCAAGCCACTAGCTAACCTTCTAAAATGTCTTCTTTGCAGACATCCTCATAGAATCCATATTTTTCACTCAACTGGATCAGTTCAGGCATCGACAGGGTTCTCGGTGTTTTGCCACAAGTTTCAGTGAACTCTTGGTTCATGCATGAGGTGTAATACTGCAGGTACCTTGTAATAAAAGTGATACATTTTTTTTTGCCTTTTGTTTTAAATGTCAAGTACACTTACCTGCACATTGCCCCCTTATTTTTTGTACCAGTATTAACATACAAGTGTTTGTCTAATGTGTGCAGAAAACCTTTGCACTGTGAAAACTGTTGGCTTAAATTTGTTGTATTGCATGTTTCTGAAACAAGCAACCAAGTTTAACAAATTGAAACTGTTTCAGGATGAATTGCAAATGAGTCTTACCAGGAGCTTCAGAAAACTTGCAAGTCCAGTTGTACTTCAGTGGTAAGTCTATGGCATAGTACTGTACCAGTTTAGTGTCTGGTAGAACACCCCCATTTTCACAGCTGTCTTGAAATGTTTTGTTTATGCACTGATGATAGTACTCAATTCCTCTATCGGTTAAAAAGATTATCATCAGTGTTGCAATGGCTGAACCACTCAGATTAGATTTTAAAGCGGTGGCTAATGCTCTGCTTATACTTAGATGCTTATGCATGGACTGGGAATAACTGTCCATCCAGTATGACGGAAGCCCGGTGTCATTTCTTTTATTGCTTAAGGCATTCTTGTTTACAAATTTTTACGACTACTGTAGGTTTATTTGCTATCACTTAGATTTTTGGGGCAGTTTGTGGCCACCACTTGTGCGCAACATTTTGGTGTTTATTTCGGAAATCAATATTTTGCCCCGAAAAGGGGAAGGCTATATGTTCTCCTATTGGGTATTGAATTGGAATATTATGTTAATGCATTGCTTTTCAGGGTTAAATGTAGAACTTTTTTTTTTTTTTTACATTTTACATTACGTCATACTTGTGTTATAACTAATAGTGGGCATCACCGTAAAAGAAAATCATAGAGTTACTGGAACATGTAAACACGCCCTTCTTAATTTTGGGTAAGACAGCAAAGACATACTTACTTGCATGCTTCAGACATTTCAGTGCTCGCTGCATTGGGATTTGCATTTGGGGCTACAACTGCTTTTATAATCCCCAAGCAGGCCTCAAAACTTTTGCTTGTTATATTACAAGTGTTTTCTGAAAACAAATGTTTCTTCATGCTTTAAATGCATATAAATGCTAATACGGTAAGATATAAAAGTGGAACCCCAAAGGACAAGGCAAGATTGTTCTACTCTTGTGATGTTTCATTTATCACAGTATTTTTAAAAAATTTTGGGTCGTGACCCTGAAGCAGCTTGTGAACTTGAAAAAAATTCCGAGGACACTTAAGCGCTTCTTATGAGTTGGGAATGCAAAAGCTTTCTCGGCGACGAGAGGAGCAGAAGCGGCCACAGCGCCGGCAGGGAGTGCGGCAATGCACTGCAAAGACCGCCCTGGCTCGCTGGTGACTGCTGCGCCGCTGGGTGAGGCAGCGGCGGAAGTGCGAAGCTCTGTGCGGCGCATGCTGAAATCATGTGTCCTCTCATCATCATCATCGCCTTAGCTGCGGCTACCGGTTGACGACGTTGGACCCCAAAGCGTAACAATAGACCTAACGTTAGGCCTAACGTCAGGCCAGCGCATACACGTGTACCCCCCCCCCCCCTTCCCCTCACTACAAACAGCTGCGCATACTGGTTGATGACGTTGGACCCCAAAGCGTAACGATAGACCTAATGTTAGGCCTAACGTCAGGCCAGCGCATACTCGCATCCCCCCTCCCGCTGCGCCGCCAGCAGTTCGGCTGGCTCCTCAGCAACGATGATGCCGTTGCTGTGAAGCCACATAACGCGTCGCCGCCAATGGGAATTTAGGTGCTGTTTTTCTGGTACAGACTGCTACAGACAACACCGGCTTCGCTTCATGGGACAGTTAATGCTTTAAGACTAAAATGTGAACTTGACTTCTCTGCTATGGCGTCAATAAAAACAGAGTACAGGTCGCAGCTAAGCATCAATCTGGAACTGAGAGCTGTGGTGTCCAAGCTCCGCCTTCGTTTGAAGAAATTGTTCTCTTACAAACAAGCTGATTTTAGCCATTAGGAACAGTCATTCCTACTGACATGCATTGTTTTTCTTTCTGCGATGGTTTCTAGCTTAGCTGACTGATGCCGACTTTTTTAGCCGTGAAATAACCTTTCACTTCGTTTTTGTGTATTACTATTTATGCACTGAGATCGAGAAGTTTGTTTCATCACAAAAAGCCGGTAGGTTGAGGGAAGGAGGTTTGGAGGGAGGGAGGGAGGGAGAAGGAGGAAGGAAGGGATGGCCGGATGGATGGATGGATGGGAAGCGAAGGAAGGGGGAGATCGCGACACAATATTTTGTGTTTTTGGTGGGTTGCAGGCCAGCAGAGTTTGGGAAACACAGACATCATAAGACAAGATTGCTACTCCTATGACATGGAAGTATAAGGAAACATTTGGAAAGTTTTGCTTGTTTTCAAGGGGCACTCAAGTGGATTTTGAGATTGTCTATTTATAATCGTAACTCAATCTACGGGCCCTAAGCATCCTAAAAAACCTGAAATCGCATTCAAGAGCGGCCAATTTCCCTATTAAAAATCCAATCAAAGATTGTGCCGTGCCCGTTTCTGCGCCGTGGCGCAGAACACCAAGGGCGCCACCGGACAGGAAGGCAGCAGGGGAGGGCATGCGACAGCCGGTCACAAGTGACTGCTTCCCGGTAAACTAATTTTTCGAAGGTGCGCGTATTCGAAAATTTAGTCTGCCGGGATGTGTCACCCGTGATTGGCTGTCGCATCCCTCCCCTGCAGCCTTCCCGTCTGGGGGCACCCCCTGTTCTGCGCCGTGGCACGGAAAGGGGGGGCGTGGCATGATCGTTGATTGGACTTTTAATGGGGAAATTGGCCGTCCTTGAATGTGATTTCAGGATTTTTAGGATGCTTAGAGCCCATAGATTGAGTTATGATGGTAAATAGACAATCTCAGATTCCACTTGAGTGCCCCTTTAAAAGTTCCACTTCAAAACATGTTACTACTATAGCTTAAAATAAGTTTTTATGTACCAACCATGGCCTTCCTTGCATAGATCGGCATACTTGTTTATGTAGCCGGGAATTTCTCGAGCATTGTCGAACAGTTTCACTTGAGACTTATTCGTGCACTCATCAAAAACGACATTCAGGCAAGTTTCATATGCTTTAAAGCCCCTAAAGAAAAAGTCAAAGTATGAGTACAAAGACTCTATAAATTAATTTAAGACAAAAGTAGTGCTATGTCTTTCTTCTGTCTGCTTTTGTGTGCATTTTATTGGTATTTGAACCTTTTTTGTAGTAGATTGCACTTACCAGCATGCTGCCTTATGGTGCATCTTTCTTTGAATATATGGAATGAAGAGGTACTTCAGAATTCCATAGCATTCATTGACATTGCGTGCCAAGGTATCCTTAAAACACATCTCATCATTTGTTGTTCGAGTACTGTAAGGTGCCTTTTCATTTCCTGCTATGCAAAGGCATAGGATCACATTCAGTGCTACAATAAGGATTACGAAAATTAAAAAGCGCAAAAGAGACAAGGACAAGAGGGAGACAACACAGGACAAGCGCTTACTCGCAACTGACGTTTTAATTCGGAAGATGACGAAGATGAAGAACCCTAACGTTACTACAATTGCTACAATTGTAGCTACAATAACGTTTGCTACAATAAGGAGTCTCTTTTCTTGACCTAATGAATATGGCTTACCGTTTTTTTTACAAACCCATTCAAGATCCAAATATAGGTATCCAGAGACCCGATTAACTTCTGTCAAATTCAAGCTTTCTTCAAGTGGACACGCGTGTTCAGCTTCGTCTATGATGCAGTGCTGATAGTCTTTATACATTCTGATAACACAAGAAATGCATTTTAGATTATATGTTAGAGGTTCCAAACATTAAGTTGGTTCAGAGATTAGGAAATGTCGCTGTAACATAGCAGAACATTATGCAGTTTGTAGCTAATGTATCACAGTATATCGGGCATAGGCTCATACCCGCCCTTTGTTTTGCTCAAATTTTAGAAATGGCTAGAGCAGGTAAAAGCATGTATAAATCTTGCCTTACGAAGTGCCCAGACTTCATTTTAAAACCACAATAGATCTGGTATGGAGACTTTGCTTCTGTAGGAGTAAGTCTGTCAGTTCCAAAGAAGTTATCCTCCAGCAAAACATCAGCTGCCATTCTGAGACGTCCTAGAAGCTTTAGTTTCGAGTCGAGGGGGATCTACAGTCATAATCATACGTGTCTATAGCGCGGGAGTGTGGAGCTTTCTCCAGCAAGCGCTGGACTGGTGCCATTTGCACCAACTAATCTAGTCACATGGGGTAACGTGGAACGATCTGCTCAGGGGTGTCGTTCCCACTCCAATGGGCACCATCACACACTGCAGGATACTCTTACGCTTTACCCTTGCTTTGGCCTGCATAACGGCTGTGCTTTGTTCTTGCTGTTTATGGCTAAGGCTTTCTTACGATTGCAAAGAGCGTACGAGCAGCCTCCTTGGTTCAGCAGCAGCCTATAGAGCAGGCAGGACGCCCCTCGAGGGGACTGTGCTACGTTTCCCAACTTGACTACTGTAAAATACCGGGCAAGCACCCACTCAAACTTTGCAGATAATCACAAAAAATGGGGGATGGGCGCTTGTCCGGTCATCAATTTTACATATTGCCACGCTCATCAGCGAGCGACCGCGCGCGTGGCCGAGTGGTTACCGTGTTTAACTGTCGTGCAGAAAGTCTGGGTTCGATTCCAGTCAGTGGAATGCTCTTTTATTTGTTCTTTCATTGCGTTCTCGTGAGTTCGAGAACATTCTCGTCAGATCTAGTTCTGAATGTTCCAGTCGCCGAACAATCTAGGCCGATTGTTCCAGAACCCAACGCGCGTACATAAGGGACTCCGCGTGCTGATCTGCAGTCAGTTTTTCGCCCAGCGTTCGACTCTGCTGCTACGCCGACTTCGACGCCCGCGACGCTCCGTTATTATCTTTTGTACCCTTTTATTTTTGGCACAAGTTCGCCACATTAAACGTTTATTTCTTTCTGTTTATTTATTGTTTATTGGTCACCACCCGTGACATTTTGGTGGAGGTGCTGGGTACCGCATGCCCGTGCAGTGTTCCCCTCCCAGGACCCACAGTGCAAGCCCGACTCCAAGCTCGCTGAGAAGACCACTCAGCGCGGAACCTGAAACTCGGACCAGCCGCCGCACCAAGGGAGAGGATCCGGAGTATGGTTTGCTCCTGGACAAACCCAAGCCGAAGAAGACGACGATGGACAACCAGTCGCAGGCCCCCGCCGCTCCTGCCGTCGTCTACCTACCCGTCGCTCCTCGGAC